AATATTTCATATGTGAACATATGCCTGCTGCTGCTGCAGCCAGTGTATAAGAATGAACAGTGCAGGTGTGCACCAGGCTTGCTCTACTCAGATTGATTTTTATTAATCACATCTTGAAATCCAATTCCCAGCCTCTTGCTCCTTACTGGAGCAGCTTTGGCAAATATGGCACACAGAGTTGACTAGCCCAGCAGCACTCTGGGCACCAAATGGAACCCATTATAAAGCTGTCAGAATGCACATACACATACTGCACAAGGAGAAACCACAATTTGTTTTCACATCTGGCCTAGTGGGTTCAGTTCCCAAGCCTGTGTTGACTTAGCATGACATCCCAACTTTACAGTAGACATGACCCACTTTCAACAACTTCTACTACGGATGCCATTCAATCATTTACTGCAGTGACTTCTTTCCCCTCAAACTTCAACTTGATAACACTCTAATACATGTATCTGACCTAACTTTACATAACTGATCAATGAGCCTGGTGTAGAAGGTTGCTTTTTCTTTTGCAAGACAAAAAGACAAAATTGCAGTCAACCATTCCAGTCCCTTTTGGCCAAGAAAATTATGAGGTTCTCGTAAATGCCGATTAATTTTTAATCGGTAAAGGTAATTACTAGATTCTGGTTTCCTGGATATCATTAACAACCTGGGCTAGTCAAATACACACAAAACCACTAGGTTGTTCTGTATCGGTTAAATAATGTTTCCATCAATTTTCAATTTAGAATCTTCAGACAAAGGGCAGCTAGTTATTGTAATGACACACAAAGGAAAGGCAGAAATGGTTCTATTGATTTACTATCCAATTTAGGAAAACCAAAATGCCATCTTCAATACAATATACTATCAGCCTGAATGAAGTGTTATCTTCACTATCTTTTCAATGCAATTTGCATAGACTCCTGCAAAAGAGATGTCTGGAATTCAATAAAGGGAGTTTGAGGCCATTAAGATCATTGGGCAGCACATTTAATGCATTTTCTAATCATATTAATCTAGTTAGGGATCTAATTTGCTGTATTCCACAAAGGTTTATTATACAATCTTCCTCAATTGCTCTGGAGGGATCTCTTAAACCTCTTTTTGGAGATGCCTGAAGAATAAACTAAGTTGCTTTGCCAGGCAGAAATTACCTGCCATCTTGTGTTAAAGAGGGTAAGCACATTATTGGAATCCCCGACTTTCAGGGGGTTTACTTCAACTCTTTTCACTGAAACATGCAAGGGATAAGGACATCTTTTATCCTTCGCTGCATTCTCTGTAATGAACTGGAATGAGGAATTTTCCACGTGAGCTCATCCCAATGTACTACAGCTGTTAAAGAATACTGCAAATGGAAAAGACGCCAATACTAAACAGACAAGCTCTACCTCGTGTCTCATTCACAACTTGAAAAGAAAGACTTTGCCAAGAAATTGTATTTAATATATAGGTGCCACCGCAAATTGCATTTTAACCATTTCCTGTTTTCTGTGTCCTTTAACACATAAAATACAGGCCCTGAAATACCACCAGTAATTTTCATGGGGTAGAAGTTATGAGTGTTATCTGTTGCTTCTTATCATCATCTCATACTACTTTTAGGAAGTTATCACTTCCTAACTGTGATGTAGCAAACTGTTCAAACTCACTGCCTCTCAACCTCTCTCTCTCAAGTAATTCCCCTTTCTCTCAATGATCTGTTATAATTAGATGCTCCTAACCATCTCATTAGTTCAAGTAGATAAGCATTCTTGGAATCTAGATCCTTTGCCAAAATTTCAAAAAGACCATATTACTATGCATATTGAACCGTGAAAGACATGCACAGATCACAAAATATTTCTAAGACTAACAAGACTCTCTTTTTTCCCCCAAAGGTAAGAATGCACAGGAAATTCATAAGGGTTTTTCTTGAGATGCCCAAAGACTCTTATTACTTTATTAATATACTGTTATCCAAAAGTGCAACTGGATAAATTATAATTTGTTAGTAATTTCAATAAATGGCCTTAAAATCAATTTATCACGTTCATTAAAAACCTCAACATTTAATAACGCTGTTAAATGTTAAACCAGTGCCAGAAATTTACAGCTCAGATGAAATAAGATCTTGCTTCAAAGAAACCATTCTTTCTTTTTCATTTTCATTGTGTTTCCACAAATCTCTAGGGCAACAGACACAGAGCAATCAGCTATGTTCAGGACACAAAAAACAGCAGAACTAATCTTCTGAGGTCTCAAGGAGTTCTGTAAGTTCCTGTACCTCTTCTCTCTCCTCGGGGAGTCATCTCTCCCTGGGCTTTCATTTTCTTCCTTAATCATATTGATCTCAGTCCATTTATCTAGGTGCAATTTTATGTGCGAGTGCCCTTTTCTTGCCTAAAAATAAACTTCAAATACCACTGGAAATGAAATATAATTAGCGCTATCCTAATTGGATTACCAGTGACAGACATGATAATAACTCCTATCTTTTTAACCTACAACATACACAAGTTTTCAATTACCTAACAGCCTAAATAAAATAATGCTGTAATTGAAGGTTGATGGATTATGGAAGTACATTAATCAAAATGAGAATTTATTTTTAATGACATACCATAAATTGGAGCCTAATAAAGAGGGACTGGAGAGCTGTTCATGTTGACAATGCTGGACTGACAACTTCCAATCATATCATTAAGTTTATCAGACAACTTTCAGTAAACTACAATCACACTGCTTTCTGGTGACACTTGTAAATTTGACACGTTTACATGCAAACATGAACAGGTATTGATTTGTTGATGTAGAGTCTACTATTTCAACCTTCAAAGACAACTGATCTGCTTGGGTAGCCCAGAAAAATGCCATGCTGTATATTCCTAGATTTTAAAACCCTTTCAATTCTTTGCTATTTCTTGAATGAACCAGCTTTATTGATTACAATTAAGATTGTTGATCTAAGATCTCAGCCAACAACAAGATAGTTGCCTGGGTATGGGAACTCTAACATATGCCCATACTAACCTGGTTCAGTTGCCCAGGAGATAATGTAAATCTTTAACTAATCTAGCTAGACACTGCCCCTGAAAACTAGCAATCACTTCCCTAACTCCAAGAAACTTTGCCAGTGAAAGATTATCAGAATTATTAATCAAGAAAATAATCCTAGGCTCTAGGGTTTTCTCTTCCACAATAAATCTTAATCCTAAGGCTTTTGCTGTGTCATGGACTGTTTATAACAAAGCTTTAAAGCAGGACAAAATTATCCTCTAGAAAGTACAACATAGAGAAAATTGGCAGTCTAAAGAATATAATAGGTGGTGAACGGAAAGAAGACCAGCTCAGTAAAAGGTCAGCGAGAATCGCATTCTAGAAATTTCACATCACCAGAGTTTTAAAAACATCCCAAAATAGATTATGGTGAATAACTACTATTGTGACCAATATATACAACCTGGGTGAGGGAGAGGGAGGGGGGGAGGAGAGAGAAAGAGAGAGCAAGACAGAGAACAAAGTCTTGCCTAAAGCTGTTCTCTATCTGCCCCATTCAGAACATTCCTGACGTGAGTATGAATATCCATTGAGGCGTTATCAAGCCAGAGTTTATCAACGTCAGTAGCAAATACAGGGATTAGTGCTACTGCTTCATTCAATGCACCATGCTAACCACCCAATTAATTCTGTCACATATATCCACCTATTTCATGTTATCATATCTCAGTATCGGCCAACAACCCCTATATTGAAATTAATCAACACATTTTAATTCTGTGCTCACTGTGACCAGATCTCCTTTGAAATATTTCTTTTCTCTGCTACCCAGAATCCCAAGATACTTGTCGATAAAAGAGTCATTTAATAATATTTCCCATGAAAATTATAAGGGTTAAGTTATAACCTAAAAGCGGTCAATCAAACATTTGTCAGGTGTAACATTTTCAGCAAAGTAAACAGTGCACCACAATTTACAAAGTGGCTGACAAAAATTGTCTACTGTTAGTTAAATTAAATATCAAGCCACACTTTTGAGACACATCAAGAAAAATCAATTGAAGTAGTTTGAAATAACAGTGGCAAATAGAATCTAATGCACTTCAATTTCCCTTTCTCATTTATCCTTATTACAGTTCTGCAAGACATGATGGGCTCATCAACACCCCTCTAACAAAGCATCTGAAACTTCCATCCTAGTTAATGTGTAAATGTTAATGTGTGAAAAGCTTTCCTAAATGGCAGATTTAGCTTGTTTCAGATAAAACTATAAGAGAAAAAATGCCATTCATGTTCTTAATGACTGACAAATTGGCATTATTGTGTATTATGGCTCTTTTGAAGTAATGAATTTTTTGCACAGAACTCCATCAAAGACATAATGTAAACACAGAAACAATTTCCTAGCTTAGTTTTTTATGGGTAATATTTTCAATAACTACATATTTATTATTCTTGAACAGTGAAAAATGTTCTTCTGTTTTAAAGTTCAAAAGCAACCTTGTGTGCTATACATTCTATTCAAACTATAAAGCTTCAAGCATCTGGAACAAAATGAATATCATCTTTAATTTAATAACTACTGTAACAAATCTAGACAACCAAAATAGCAAGTTCACTCATAAGAACTATGCGTTTGGTTAGAACTCATAACACGATGAGGACAAATATTTGATAAAGCTTTGAACAAAAAAAAAAAAAAAAACCTTTGGAAGACAATAAATTTGTGGTATAATCTAATGCAGTGTAAAGGACAACATAAATTGTTCCAAAATTCATATAACCAAAAACAGGACCAGAAGACTTGGTATACTCTATGAACCCCGTGTGTAAATCTTTACTTTTTCAAACCCACTGGGATGACACCATGATTAAGAATTACAAGACTCGATTTTGAGAAAGCAGTATGGGTGGTGTTCAAAACTATCAAAAAAAAAACAAGCAAATAACAATGGTTATGTGTAATGGTGTTAGAGAAGGGATAGACCTTATCATCATTTGTCCTGAAGAAATAAAAACAATGAAAAACTAACCTTTATAACCTGGTGGGTAAATATTGCCACTTTCCATTCCCCCCTGGCCTGGGGTCTTCATTGCATTTGGCCCAACTGGTGGAGAAAACATCTGTAATTTTCAAAAGTTAGAGATAAATTTTTTTTTCAGTTTTACCTGCATGTAGAATTTAAGAAATATTTAAAATTACGACATACCTCAACAACAGTATCACATCATCAAAATAAGCAGTAAACTTACAATTCTACACTACTTGACGACACAAAGTGTGTGCTGGCTTAATTACACCAGGGATATGACTCAATCCTATTCTTTTCAAGCATTACTTCTTTACACCCAGTGCACAATAAAGGGAATCCAATTCCAAATGAAGCTGTTAAATTGAACCAGTGCAGTCAATGAAGTCAACTATAGTTTGAAAGTTCATTTAGCCACAAGTTTATCAATTGCATTGATTAGTTTCTTTGATTTTGTCACCCTGGACAAACAACAGGACAATGTCAACAGCCAGCAATCAATGGACCATGTCAAGCTCTTTCTAGCATGACAAGCAATAAAGGGCAAGCATATTTAATAGATGCTATGACCACTTCACTTGGTCACACCCTAACATCTTGCCATAATTACCACTCAACTGAGGGGGGGGGGGGATAACAACTACAAAACTTTAACTGAGTTATATTGAACCAGACTAGGCAGGTAAAACGGCAATGTATCTTTCTTCCTTTATTGAACTTTGTAGTACTCCTCTATCAACTTACCCAAATATTGACCCAAGTCTGTTTCAATACTTGTACATAACAATTAGTAGTAACATTCCCAATATAAAGGGCTATAAAATCTATCCAGAAACTTCATCTTCATACACTGGTAATAACCCCCACTTTACATGAGCTGTGTCAATTTCACTTCCACCAGAAACAATTTCAAAATGGCAGATTTCCTGAAGTGTTTCCCTTTTCCTGCAGTTAAACTGTTATCCCCATCTGATATGCAATATTCATCAATACAAAGCATAATTATGGATTCACTTTTCATTCATTAGCCTGATAAATATTTGCACCTTGAATGACAAAGAGGTAAATTATTCCTCCGAGTCCCAGAAATGATTGGAGTCATTAGGCGACACACAGCCGCTTTAAACTTCTCAGTTGGGCATCAATAAATGGCAACAAAGCCCAGTGGAACATTTTTGAAAGATGACAGCCACCCATCTAACATGTTTTTGAAGTAAATTAGCAGAAACTGTTGATGAATTGAGAGAAAACATTTTATGAGATTATCAGAATGCCATTTTCTCCTCAAGCTGTAACTGGCAGATATAACTATCACATACTTCAATATTCAAGGAACTTTTTACTGTTGTTACTTTCATTTCATTTTATTTTTTTTCCTTTGTACCTCAAAATAGTCAAACACTAATTACCGTTGTGCGCCAAAGATAATTTTCAATAATTGACTCCACTGTGTGTGCAGTATACTTCCTCTTTGTTTCTTACCTCGGTCAACTGTAATCAGAGTACTGTATTTGAGGAAATCATTGAACAAGCAGAAAGGGGACTCCACAACATATGAACAGCTGTGCACCTCAAGGTCTCAGTCCCCATAGCTTGCTAATGATGAAGAATACAAAAGTGTCCATTATTGAGCAGCTCTAATCTTCACGATGGTTGCATAAGTTTGTCCCCACACACAAGACAGTGTTATTCAGGTCTACTCAGTTTACATATTTAGCTGGCACTGATATCCTTTTGCTGCCCTACTGTTTTGTTACGGACTTGCTTAGTGTGTACCTACCATGAGATATTTATCAGATATTGTGGTGGATTTTCTTTCAATGCTTTAATAATGATGTATTGGATTCTGGCTGTATGAGCATGAATGACCACAATCTATGCAATATCTGAAGGATGTAGTCTTACATAGTGAGAGCTTGTCAAGGTAACCTATGTTACAGCAGTATAAGTAACTAGTCACTGCCTACATGTATGTGCTTATTGCCAACATCCCAAGCAAATTCCTTTAATTTCTATATCAAACCCTAACCTATCTATCTTTCATGCGGGAGGTAAAAAAGTAATGGAATTCTTCATACATAATGAATGCCATTTGGTTGGTTAAAATCCACTTGTGAGGAATGGGTTACCTGGTATCTGCTATCATAGGGTTAGCAATATAATATTCCAGTGTTATCACTTTAAGCTGAAGAAAAGAAGACAGAACTGGCTTTGGGTCAGGAAAAGTTCCCTTTTGGAATATACTAATCTTCCTGTTTGAAACCAACCTGAACCCTTTCGGGGGGATGGCTTTCTTATAAATTCAATAAACTGTGACCCTACATAAAATTAAAGCAGCTTTCCTATTTAAGAGGAACTTAATTGTTGACTGCAGAAGTGTAACATTACAAAAGATGGATGAAGGGGCACCATGCCTTGTGACAATGTAGCTGCTGCAGTCCCAGTTAATTGGTTATTGTGAGAAGACAGGGTCACAGCCCCTGGAGTGAACAGACACCTCCCAGATCTTGAAGAATCTCTCCCACTGATTCAATTCATGTCATTTTCTCCTTTTAAAAGCATGAAAATATCCAAAAATAACGCGATGGATTTCTGTACAACTAGAAAACTTTTCTTTCATGGTTTGGTTATAAAAAAAAGGGTTGTTTGATGTGTTGTTTTTAGTATAACATAGTGAAAATATGGGGAAAAACGGAAGGTTCATGTCTGTCAAGTAGAAATACAAAGCACAAAAACTATTCCGTTTCTGGTGTCCATTAAATCAAGCAGTGCAAAACAACAATTTGCTTTGGGCAAAATTGTTCATAAAGGGGTTGTATGTGTGCTGGAAACCTTGCCCCAGGTCTCTGGCACACTGTAGTCAATATTTACATAGAACTGCACAAACAGAGAATATATGTGTACATACTGCGCTAAAATCCAGTAGATCACTGAGTTCTTTGTCTGACTGCATTCTGTGCTACCACTCCACACTTGCACACACGACCTGAAGCACAAAAAGAATGCAAAGTGACTTAGGAGAGAATTACGCACAGTGACTGGGTACCCTTGTGGACCAAAATAGAAGACAACTGATGGCAGTTTTATCAAACAAGGCACTTTTTTCATAATGTATGCGATTCCTCCTTACTTCTTGACTAGTCATTTTAAACCAATTTCTCTTTTTTAACAAAGCCAATTTGATTGTTCTACTTAAGGGTGTGCTAAGCTTTGATCAGTGTGGCAAAGTATGCTTATATTTCTTCCTACAAAAGTATCACTGACATCACTTTAAATAAAAAAATATAGCACAACAAACAGGAATGCACACAAAATAAAGTGAAATCTTAAGTTGGCAAATTCTAAAATCTGTCTCTCTGATTTTTTACTTAAAACAGTTTGAAAAAACTAAAAAGTCAGAATTAATTTTATGCAAAATGTACACATATTTCATGCAATCTGAAATCAATATAAATACTTATAACAAAAGTATGTACTTTCAGTTAATTTATAAACCATAAATTACTTGCATTATCATCTATTAAAACATCATGAGTGAATTTTAAGCTTAAATGCATAACTTTATGACAGGTTACAGAGACTGTTGACTATGAGGCTTCTTCGGTCATTCGAGACGTTTGAATGACCTCATCCAAGAAGTAAAAATGCTGACATTGTTGCCCAAATAGGCAAATGACTTTTCTGAATACAGTTGTCTGGCATTTTTTTGCTGCTGACTAACATTAAAAAAAGAAGGATAACAATAAAATTCTGTAGTGTTAAAATCTTTGCAAACATTTTTTCTGAGGGAAAGGAGAGCCAAGTGAATGTGAGTAAATTTTTTCACACAAGTAAAATCAAATTGGGGCAAAAGTTTGGGAGGGCACTTTCCTGAAGGATAATTGCCCAAAAACCTATCATCACCCCCTGAGATAACCGAAATCCACAAAAAAAAAAAAAAAAAAAAAAATTAATGAAAAAAAAAATATCAATAAAATTAATAAGCAAAGAGTGCACAGGTTAAAGGACAACAATTTACAGATCTTCATTTTAATCAATCTTACCCACAACTCTTGTTGTTGTCAACCCTGCCTTGTCCGCTGTATCCCCACAAAAATTTGGAATATCCTAAAACAAAAGAAAGCGATCATATCAACTTATGATAATCACAAACCAAAGCAAAGGGTCATCAACTTCTTATCTTGTTTTTCAATCAAAAAAATGGGTTGGGGCAAAAACCTTCAGCTACAGATCATAATACCTTGACTTTGCTGTGAAGAATGCATTTCTACTCAGCTCTCTTTCTTACCCTGGTGATGAGAATGATTCATGCACCATAAACGTGTGTAGTGCGCTGTTAATGGTCCATGCCTACGGACAAAAGGTCCCTTTCCAATGTAGTCAGCTTTGAGTGCCCTTTGATTTTCAGGATGAAGAAAACAATTTCTATGTGGGGGAAGACCCCTATTGCAGACAGTACAATATAAACAGGAAGAGTTGACCCTAACTTGAATAGAGACTTTTCCATGTACCATTTTATAGTTCACTTTGTGGGTGCCAACTATGTTGTGAAACCAACACACATTCATCTACGAGCATTTGCATGCAAAGTTGCTCTAGTCCACTTCCGAGGATCTTGCACCAAGTGAACTTATACTAATTTTATGTTTTGATAACAATCAAAGAAGGAAACTCTTCAAATAAAATATGTATACTTTAACCACTGTACAGCAAACTAAAAGAGGGGATCATTCCTAACAATCATGCTTATAAAAAATTATCCATTTAAAAACAAAATTTTCTTTCTTCACATTTTTTTTAATTGTAGTTGTCTATAAAAACATATATATATGTTAAGCCGTATTAGAACCAAGCAATTAAAATCTTTAGCACTACTGACTAAAAAAATGGAAAAAAAATCTTTCCATGAACCATTTCAGCCCTCAGATCGATTGTTTCTATATTTAAACCCAAATCTTTTCCACTAATTTATCTAACACTTCCTCCCAGACAGATGACCAAGTCCAGTCTACTATAATTTGACCAAATCACACCACTATGTCTGAAGAAGACCTATTCTCCCTCCTTAATGATACATTGACATGTGAGTTGCCAGCTCTTCCTCAGAATCAGTTAACCTGATAATAAAAAGCCTAAAGGGTGTGCCTTTACGATGCATGCCAACAATTATGCCTTCATGCTTGTCACTTTCCAAACATTAAAATCAAAGCCAAAAACATGACACTGGCAAGCACTGACCCACACTTTCTAAAAAGTTAACTAACTTGCAGGTTGGCAATACTCGTCCATCACAGTGATTCACTTTCAATACATATTTAAAGATCATTAAGGAGGTTCTTCCCAAAGTCTGATAACAATGCTTTTTCAGGATTAAGCAAATTAATAATTAATCAATAATAAATCTAGCCACATTAAAACTAAAATTAAACAGATGTTCTAACTTCTAGACCTACATTGTTTTCTAAATGTTCTAACTTCTACACCTACACTGAATCTCAAATTGTATTCATCTATTCATTTTCAACTTTTTTTTCATTCTGCACACCCTTTCCTTTTTTATGCGTATTCTGTATAGCTATTTATTTAAAATATATAAGTAGCAATATGTGATCTCTGTTTGACATTGGTCACTGAGTTGTGAGATATTATAATATAAATTCAGCAGCTCATCCATCCTGTCAACAGCCATGGACTGTTTTTACAGCTGTTATCAGTTCTCTATTAGGGAAATTGTTTCAAATCATGTCATCTTTGAGAAGGAATAAATAAGTGATTTTTCTTTTTACTAAGTTCCATCTGCATAGAATTTAGATTAAAGAAAAATCAAGTTATAGACGTTCAATGTTACAAATAATTTTTTAAAATCTCAGTTTTTCGATGTTAAAATAAATTAAATCTAAAACCTATTTATTAGAAACATTCCAAAAAGAGTCAATCAAGTTTTCATTTCCAGTAAATTTTTGATATCTAAAAAGCACTTGCTTATGACTTTTATGTTTTAAAAAACTAAATTTCTGTTATAAATGCAAATTCCTAAAGAAATAGTACAGAAGCTGGATGTGTTAACTAAGTATCAAGTATAAAGTCATAAGGCAAATATTTATGTTGGGGAAAACTAGTTCATCTTATATAACTGAAGTTTATTGAAAACCAGTTCACCCATTTGGCACTATACCTGATAGAGTAATATCCCCACACCCCCAAATTCTTAAATGAAAAGGTGCCATGTAACATGTCCTAAAAACCAAGCCTTTAATGTATTGGGCTAGTCATACATTCATATTACATAATCTTAACTTTGGTTGCTGGGTAAGCATTCTGATGGTACCTGCATAGTTAGCCACAGGGGAGATTCCCCTAAATGATGAATCACAATTGTTCTGCATTTCTGATGCCTTTGCATCTGTACATCTAGCTTTATACTTTAAGTAAATATTTTCACCATTCATTTCTATTCATTTGCATACTAACAAGACGGTACAAGAATATTTTCTAAATTACTTAAAGGCTATTAAGGGGCAAATATGTTGCACAAAATAATCCAATTTAACTGTCTCTGAAAATGTCCTTTTCCTTATTTCCCCTTGCTGTCCACAGTCAACTTCCATCTTTCGTTCACTGACTATAATTTCAAAATGTTTTCTTTATCGATTTTGAATTTCTTCTAGTCTGATTGAACTATATTGGTATGACTTATTCATAAATTTTTAAAAACTAAACCTTTAAAAAGTTGGATAAAAAATCGAAATCTTTTCTTAAGAGACTAAACCTGATTTTATCTAGGAGGCATAGCAATCCTTCATTTTAAGTGTTTTGTCTCTTTAAACAATTTTAACCTTTTTTTACCATCATCACACAAGAGTCAATGAAAAAACCTATTTCATCAAAGTATTATACATCACACTCAAAGCATATAATATATCAGACTACACTCATAAAAACAAAACTGCCTTCCCACTGATACAAAAAAATTCTTCTAAATTAACAAACATTTCTTTTAGTGGATGTGTAATAAATGTCTAAGAAAATTGCTGATAGTATTCATGTAAAAAAGAATGTAATGGTGAATCGCAGGTGGTTGTAATGTAAATTCCTCCACAGTTAAACGGGCATCTGAGAGAAAATAGCCATCAAACCTCAATTCAGAGCCAAGAACAAAACAGCCTTAATTTATACGTATATAATATATTAAACTAGCTAGCGCTGCTCTGACAGAACTAGGAGATAACGTTTATGGTATCGCCTGTAGACGACAGTAACACGCATTTCTTGTCATTATGCATGAAACAGTAAATAGTGGAAGAATTCCGGCTGGGTAGCAGTCAGTCGCCGTTAAATTAGGCCATTATGATGTGTGACCCAAATGACAAAAACTTTAACAGGTATGCCCAGGTCCCAAAAAACTTATTGCCACTAATCAAATAGTTAATTCTTAGTAAGCGCCGATTTAAGAACATGGTGAAGCACATTTCTATATACATTCTAATGATACCAGTTAACCAGGCGACGGCGATAACGGGTAGGGTCCCAAAAATCCCCTGATGGGTGACGAGGATTTCCCCGGTACTGAATAAAGGGGTACGGAGCAGACAAAATGGCGACGATGCAAAAAAAGGTGATTATGGGGTCATCTTGCTCACCTTCTGTTTTCTGCTGTCTTTTGGCTCCAATCCCGTTTAGGGACGGCCAGTTGAGTGCATTCCGGCAAGCTGTAAATGCTCGAAATACTTTTACCAACTTTTCCGATGCGATACAACTTCTCTCTTTGCCAAAACTTCTCTCCGCACGCCTGTTACAAGGCAGACATCTTTTTTCTTTGTGGAGTGCCCACGCGGATGAAGATAAGAAGCACTTACTACAAATAACAAGTGAAATATTTCCCATAGACGCTGTCAACGTCCTCTTTGGTCTTTGGTGCTTTCCCTCATATGAATTAGATGTCAAAGGTAGTTTTTGTGCCGAAGTAGCACCCTAATCAACGTTTGGTTGACATTAAGGGACTATATCTAGAGCTCACGTAGCCATTGTGTACATTGAGTACACCGGTTTAATGTTTTTATGTTTCTACTACACGAGGGCGCTGTGAGGCAAGCATGATTGACAGAAGGCATATTCTCGACCAATCAAATCAAAGAACAAGCCCAGAAGGTGGGTGCTCCACGTGCCACGGCGCCAGAGTGTCTCGTTCATTTCAAAAGGTACATATAGTGGCTACATATGAATTTAGTGAAGTATGGAAGTGAAACAAATTTGATTTGAAGTGAAATATCAGAAGTATTTTTTAAAAGTTTGCTTCTAATACGCCTTTTACAATTGGGTGACAGCAGTTAAACGAATTGTTTAATCGTTAGATTATACATGCTTAGCTCCACTTAGTATATTAGAAAAAATGAATACAGATAAATGTAATTGGCTTAAACCTCAGAAATTTTAAGACACAATTTTCAAAACCTAATTTATCTTTAAAGAAAATCTAATCTCTTAGTTGCCATTTCACTTTTTTCTTCTGAATTTGGATTAAAAAATCAAACAATGGCAGCGACGGATATGCAGCTATTCTCCATTTTTTATTTCTTTTGTTATTTTTTTTCTTTAATTCCTTTATTTATTAATATCTTTATTTATTTCTAAATTTTATTTAAGATCAGTATAATAAACTGCGGATTTTTGGCCACTTAGAAGACCAGGTTGAATCTTTCCGTCAGGATCGGGATTCATTCTGTCGCCTATAACAGAGTCTGTCTGCCGCGTTCGTTGTCAATCTGAAGTTCACGAATATGTCACCTTTCTCAATTTATCTCCGAGCTTAATGACTGTGCTGCATTGTTTCCCGTAACTAATACTTAAAACTGTCTGTCGCTGTGTACATGATTTAATGAGGTCGAAAGTAGTGCAATCTATTCCTGCCACAAGTAGCTGCCACAGGTAGTATTTACAAGATTGCCGACGCGATACTGTTTACAAGCGACAGGCATCACCTGTATGCAAACTAGTTGCATACAAACGTACAATGGTGATGAGTTTGCAGATGAACACGCTATCTTCATGTTCTGCCAATTTTAAAGTAGTTTCTTTAATTAATCCATTTAGTTACATCAGAAAAAATCAGCGACTACGTTTCTGATGATGCAATTCCATGCAGGTGTCCCATATGAGGAAAGGCTACGCAATAGCAGAAAAAAGGATTCATTACAGATGTTCAAATTGGGTGCAAATTACCTCTGCAGAAACTGTGTATTTAAATTACCATTAGATACACGTACACAATATCGTTACACACCTTCTGAAGATATATGTCTGAACTAATCAAGAGAAAACCGAAGGACGGCTAATCTGTATTGAGGTGATATGTTCACTTTCACTTCACTGAAATGTCCATAATCTTCTTTGCAAGTAACGCACACGCACGCTTTGAGTCACGTCATCCATAACACCCATCTACTGGTTATTAAAAAGAGAGAGAGAGAGAGAGAGAGAGAAAAACAGTATCTGTTTGTCTCTGATGTAGCTGTAGTAATTTACATACAGGTATGAATGCACACGATTACCTGTTTTAATTTATATGTCTAAAAAAAGTTGAATGTCAATAACAAAAGGTCCTTTGAATTTACATGTAGAAATTACAGTGTGCATATGGCAGTAGCTGAATTAACCATTTAAAAACTAGTTTTAGGTGAAATATTTGAAAGAATTGCCTTTGCTTCAAAAAAGTAAAGGTTGAAGCACCTTTTTATGTATAAAGGATCAGGCTAAAAGATTTTTAAGAAGAAAAAAGGTAAGCATTTTTGCTATATTGTCTCTTTGGTCCCTATTTGTTGAAGAAGAGTCACCATATATATATATATATATATATATATATATATATATATATATATAGAGAGAGAGAGAGAGAGAGAGAGAGAGAGAGAGAGAGAGATATGGATGTCAGTTGCTAGGTGACTATATCTACATATATGGTTTAAAATGGCAGTACTTTTGGCTCTCAGTACTGATTGAGATAAATTGAAATGACAAATGAGTTACATTAAAAAAATTTACTATACTTAATTTACAAGTACTTATGCCACTGTGGATCTACAGGTGTGTGTGTAATTATTCGTATTTTTCTTATTTTTTCTGACAATTTATTGATAATTTCCACAGGTAATAATTGGTGATTTATTGATTTAAATCAAATGTAAGCCACAAAGATTTCAAGACACCAAGTTATTAACAAGCATAACAGACACGTTTAACATTTGGTCAACTGCTATTGCTGCCTATGACTTTATTAAATACTTTTGTATAAATTTTGTGATAATGAATTTATTAAATAATATTACTTTTTTTCAAAATATAGTGCTGATTTAAAATAAACTTTTACAAAATAAAAACAAATCACAGATTGCAATTTACACATAGAATTTATTTAACCAAAATTTATGAATCAATACAAGTTTAATCCTTTAACCACTAAAAAAATGGTAAGTAAAATAATCATAATAAAATGGACAGATGAATGCAAAATGGACATTTCAGAAGGAGCTACAGCATGCCGTCAGTTACCCCCAGGGGTGCAGTGTTGTTTATTATTTGTCCTCGTTGCCATAACAACCTGTTTCACACCTGTTCCTTCAAAAGATTATATGGAAAGCAGGGTCTATTAATTGAACTAAAAATAGAACTTCTGCTACCTGTAGCTGTCCTGGCATTATGACAGTGAAAAAAGGTGAACATCTGGAAAATATAACTACTCTCATTGCATAAAGTCTGCAACATATTTCATATGCACTTTTTTTTTCTGGTAACCAGTAAGTGAATGAACAGGAAACCACTGTAGATCAACTGGAGTTCAAATAGCATGTGGTAAAACCAAACCCTTACCAATGACTTATCACAGATCAATTAAAAATTTGTTTATTTGTGCAAAGATGCTTGCTAGCATTTCTTAGGCTCGATGCGGTCACGAAAAAACATTACTCGAAGTAATTATTCCAGTGGGTTATTTTTTGGTCTTTTTGATTTCTTTTGCCCTCAAAAATCCTTTTTGGTTTTTCTGTTCTGATTTGTGTGTTGTCCATTTTTTTATCCCTGTAGTCCCAGCTTAGCTAAGGCAAGAACATCCTCATTTCTACGAATATCTTCAAACATATATGTGCTGCGGTCAACCATCTCACGTAGCAAGTTGTAAGTCTGAAAAAAAAATGTAAGTTTAGGGCTGAGATTTAAGAGCAATGGTGCAAAAACTTAACTTTCTCATTTTATGCTTATTTTCATTGATTGGATTTGGTGTTTATTTCTTTAATGCAGAAAGATTCATTATACTAGAAAACTGCATCACTTTAAAACATTCATTCATTTTTCTTTCAGTTGCTGTTATCCATTAAATCTCACATATTTCTATGAAATACCAAGAATTGTTTTAATCACCAAGTCTGATGCAATTTGGAATGGGTACAGGGAGTACTGTATATCATTGTTTAGAGGTATTTCTAGCCTGCAGCATAAAATCACTACAGCATAAAGTCAACAGACTGAGTGCCCAGTGCCTCTGCAAAACTGTGCAGCCACTGATCATTAATTTTAAATGCCCAGTCCTTTCATTTCAACTTTTTAAAATCATTATTTTTTAATCATTAATTCTTATGATTATGCAACACTTTATCTGCTGAAAAAAATACCTGAATGAAATTCAGTATTTTCTTGACTCGCGTGAAAACAATAAAGTGATGAACATATTCACCTGCACAGATAATTTTTCTTTGTATTTTCTATCCAATACTGGATCAACATCTGGTGCTGGGGTAAAGGCACTATTGCCCGTGTGAGGGGTAGCTGTTGCAGCTCTATCTCCCACCATGTCTTTCTGTGAAGAGGGTGTGGGGGCTTGTCGGCTGGGTGGCTTCTTAGGGCTGGCTGTCAGTTTTCCTCCCCCGCGATCCTTGTCTTTGCCACTCTGTAAATAGATTTGTATTTTTTTTTTACTTTCAAGTGGAATTAATTTATATAAGTGAATAAACCACATTAAAAACTATGTCATGTCTTAAAATTTAATCTTGTGTTTGAAATGTGGCTTCTAGATGACAATAAAGAGATCTCTCGATCAATGGTCTTTTTCATGTAACCAAAATTGCCTATGTGAATAAAGATCATGTAATATACAGCACAGTATATATATAGTGAGAGGAATATATAGTAAGAAAAATTTTAAAGGTTCTTTGAAGGGAAAATTTAAAAAACACCATGAAAATTAGTTTCATTGCACTACACAGGCCTGTAGACAGCAATTTCAAAGGGGGGGGGGGGGGTTCGTTTTCTGAAAAAGTGGACCTTTTACCATAAAATCCTCAAGTACATAGGTCAAATTTTACCCAGAGTGGATCTTTTCCTAGCAAAAAGGGTGGTTCTTTCGAACCCCCCGAACCCCCCCTGGCTACGGGCCTGCTACAACAAGTTGCTTGTTCTACCTTACCTCTTACAGCACCACAGATACCTTTTAAACATACCTTAGGGACATATTGTTATGAACTATATATCTTTCAGTGTAAATAATTGATATGATTGAACTCCCAATATGCATTTCAAAGCTTTTATTAATTAACTTGGCAGACAGACAGGGATTTGGCAATGATTCAAAAAGTGTTAAATATTACTGTACTTACATCTTTCTCTTTACCCTTGGGTGTTTTTGCATCTTTTCCTCCTTTCTGCCCTGCTTTGGAATCCTTTTTTGAATCCTGACCCCGACCAGCCTTTTGTGCTAAAGACAACAAATATATGTTTTTTATCCAAGTTACATCAACAACAAAATCTAAAATTATTCCTTGTTATTGCTTAATCAACTCTAACATTTGACTTAATCCTAAATTCAGAAAAAAAATAACCTTGGAAACACCATAAAAAGAATTCATTGCTAACTTTTAGATAATTTTGGCTGACATGCCAGGTCTCATCTGTAAAGTTGAATATCAATTTCAGAAGATGGGAGTTATAAAAACATCTGCTTTGGAAAGATGTCAACAATTTTTTGCTGTGATGTGGCATATGTGCCCTACAAGTCATCAATTCAGAGGAGATGAAAGGCATTCTACACTTACAACTAGTTTTGCAGTAAAGGACTCTTCACAATAAACTGTATGTTTGCCTTACTATTTGTGAATGAAGACATGCCCATCAATTACATTTTTCCCTACATAAGAAACTACTTCCAAATTCTCCTGTTTCAAAAAAAAAAAAAAAAAAAAAAAAAACTATCCATTAATTGGGAATGCATGATTTCCAACTTTGGCAGTCGATTAAAAAATTATCACTGGGCTTGTTATTTTTAGTGGAATCATAATCAAGTCATTGTGAACTGTTTTATTTTCACTGACAGGACATGAAATCTTTGTTCCGCGATTTACTTTACAAGGTACAGAGGAGCACCACATAACAGCAGAAAAATTGAAGGCACATGTGCTTTAAGCACAAAGTGGTAAGCATGTTTTTTTTAAGGTTCTATGCTTATCTATGTTGGTTATTCAATTTCGGGCTTCAAGCTTTTACTATTTTCCCCAAAGTTAGGAGCTCTAGAATATACTAGTAAATACAATAATGGTTTGCTTAGTGACAGAGTTTAAGCTTTATCATAAATATGTAATTTACAAACTGCAATGAAATATGTAATGTAAATTCTTTTAATAATTCTCAGCATTCTGATTCATTTTATCTTTTAATCCAAACATCTATAATGATATATATGTACAAAACATTACAGTTAAATCTCTATCGTATAAACTATACGCATATGTACTGACAAAAAAGATTAAGAAATTGTGTTGAATACATGACAACTAAAATAGATCGTACTCATGCAAATACTACCCAAGCATAACATATTCAATGTTACTCTTATAGCAATTACTTACGCTGATTTTTAATAAGTTGATTAATGGAAGTGAACAGGCAGGATCATAGACAAAGTGATGTTAATGCTAAGATCAAAGGAAACATTGTGAGGAAATTGGTAATCACTCCTGAGTAATCATTTGTGCACAACTACATATATTACTCTAAACCAGGATAAGCAGATGTAACTGTTTGGGGTGGGTTGAGGGGGGGATGGGGGGTGTACTGATAATTAGTTACGCTAATAGTATCTATACATTTATTTGTCATTTTCCTAGTTCAGTTTTTTTCCAGTTTAAGACTACTGACTTGATGCTCCATCAAAAATGTAATGGCATCCATAAAAAGTTTCTGGGAGATGTGATGAAGTATTGAACAGTGTGACCTAACTGCCACCTGTGCCACTTTTTTTAAAAGTGTGTAAAGGTACAAGAAATATGGTTGAACTATCAAGTTATATATACTAGTACACTGGAGCCTGCTCAGATTACCAAAATTAAAATCTAAATAGAAAGAAATGTCTGTTGTACTGTACAGTACATTTTACTTTAAAATTCAAAATACACATTTAAATTAAGCATTATCAATGGATTGGCCTTGTTGACAAATCATGTACAAAACTGTACAAATTTGTGTATCAGAAATTTTGGTTGATGTTGAGAATCAGTCAAGGAAGGATAGGTTATTATTTATATAGTGGTATGATGGTATCAGTAACAATCTCTGCTTTAGGATATCCTGGATATTGGTTAACACAGTTCCACAACAAATTGTGCAGTGTTAGTACTCATAACTCCCCTAAAAAGACAGATACTACTGAGGATATTAAAGCTACTTCAGTTTCAAATGTGATATGTATATCAAAATGCCAGTGACTTTTCGTGGGTTCTTGGCAAAGATTTCCTGGATAATCAACAAAATAGCATATATTATTCATTTACTGGTATATCCAGGGCTTACTGATTTAAAAGAACAAAACAGTTTTCATTTTTCTACAAATCTGCCATTCTTTTCCCGCTGTTCCTCTGATAATTACAATGTCTTTTGGTGATATCAATCTTCAATCAACATCTTTGACCCTCACAATGTCACTTAATGGACTTGAACCCATGTAAAGCCACAATATGTATGTGTTGGTGTATATGGTTTATGTGTTTGTACCCACTTACATGCACCAGGCCTCTCTGAATGGGAGGTATGCGGAGTACTATGAGCTGAACAAATAGGAGAACATGCAAACAGATAATGAAAACCTTCACCTAGTATAAGAGAACATTAACTATTATATTAGATACTAGTAGTATTTTTTTAAATGAAAATAGTAAGAAAAATCGGAGAACATTTGCAGAAACTTCAATAATATGTATTACATTCACACAAAATATTGTTGATATATTATATTATATTTAATGAACAGTGCAACTACACAATACATAAGAGTAGTTTTCTTGTTCATTTGTTATAGTTTAGTAAACCCTGCGACCATCACCACCTGTGGCGTGTTACTGGTAGTTGTCTCCAGGTTTAGTGTCTACAGATTACATTTTAATTGCTTGATATAATTAGAGAGTTATGATGGTAATAAAGACAGGACACTTTGTATCAATCATTCTGTGAGGTCAAATCCCGCTCTTTGTAATTCAAGAAATTACAGCAGTCAAATTATAGTTATCAAGTACACCAAATCATATAGCGCAAAAACCACTGTGCTGAAGTCACATTAGACGATTAAATCAGTGGTTTTTACTGATATCATGGTGGATCATATTGATAAGGTTAAGTTACACACTTATAAACTTTTTTGTCTTCAAAAAAGCTACAAAAATGTTATACAAATGAAAGAAATTTTCTATTTTAGAATAAGGTTATTTTTTGTTCAAAATATTATTCTATTATCCTGAAGTAATGATTAATACAACATATGTCAGCATTAGTAATAAGGTAAATATCATAAAATAATACTCTTACACTTATATTTGTATAAGCGTCCTTATATGTACATTTATGTATATTAATATTAATGGTTATTGTTAGCAATAAGTAAGATTACTGCACACTGCTCGAGTCATTTACAAAATGAATATTTTATCCTGGTTTGTAATGCAAGCACTGAAGGTTACAGAATTTTATTTTTATGTCAAAATATGAAAGCAGTTCTATATATATCAGTCCTAGTGACTGGAAGCACCATGGCCCAAAAGCTCAGTCTGTCTTCTTCCCATTCTAAGAGAGTGCTACTATAGATGAAGTTCACTTACTCTTGCCTGACTTCGTGACTTTTCCTAAACGTGCAAAACAGTGATGTGTTTTTACTAATCTATCAAACCACAATATGCAAGCTCTTACTAATGTGTCATCACTGAAATATGAACTACCTTTTTCTTCCACATTTAGCTAAAAGCAATTCCCAGTAAAAATTGGATAATGTATTAAGTACACATGCAAAGGTAGCCTTCACAAAAATGATTTTCTATGACTCTCCAAATGGCACTTGTCAAAAATGTGATAATAAAGTAACTTCCATGTTCACATTAAAGCAAAATAAATAAACAAAAATGAAAAATTACAATTTTCTTAAATAATTAGATTTAGTGATTATTTATTATGAAAATAAATAAAATAAATTCTTATTATCAAAAATGATTTTGTAGATAACACGCTCTATCTCTCATATATCTACCACCACCACTAAGAAAATAAGAAACAAAATTAAATTGAAAATATGCATGATTATCCATAAGCATGCACAATAAATCTAAACTCTCACTATTGACTTAAAATCAGAAAAAAACAAAACAAAACGAAACCACATCAATCAATGAGCAGCAATAATGCCTGTCAGCAGAAACGTATAAATTAATGCATATATTAAAAAAAAACTAAAAATTGAAATGATATATCAGTTCTATCAAAATGCACTTCCACTAGTTACAACTTACTACGATCAGGTTCACGTATAGTAGGCAACAAGCGCGCACTATTTTCTCTGGAGTTATCTCGACTATCTCTCCTTTGAGACTTCTCCGGAGAAAAGGGCGTTAGGCTGTCTTTTCTAAAGCCTTTCTCCGGAGAAGAGGCCAAAGAATCGAAAGAATCCACTGGTCACAAAGAGAAGCAGGCATTAATGACATCAGTTATTACATGCTGATCTCATATCATAAACACACTACTAAAAACAGTAAGGTGCTATCTAAAACTACTGCACTGAGTAGAACATTAATAAGGTGAGATATACATTCTCTATCAAGGGTTTAATGAATTTGGCATATACTGAGTTCTTGATCCCTGTAGGCTCTCAGGTTCTAACATAATACTGAGCTTTTTAATTTACTACCAAAAAAGAAAAAAAAAAATCTGTTTATGCACTGAATTCAACTTCAACCCTCCCTATCAATATAATAATTCACTAATTAATCAGCTAAATGATCTGGTTGAACAATATTTTAGCTCAAATACCAACAAAACAAAAATATATATCTGAAGCCATTTTTGGTCTCACATACACCAGTATAAGACGATTATTACTTGATGAAAAATACACTATTATTATGCAAAGAATGTTTCACATACTAGATATCAAAAATGCATAACTGTAATAGTTTTATGCTATAGTAGTCATGGATTTTTGATATATTTTGAAAATAATGACAATCTGGAATAAATAAGTAAGAAGAAAGAAAAAAAGAAGAAAAAAGGCGATCTATACTACCGGTATATATATAACTTTATAAACAGTTAATGCAGATGGTGACAAGAAGTAAAATCCAACATAAATAACACTAAGAGAATGTGCTTACTTATATCTCCCTCTGGAAACTCCTCAAATTCTTTCTCAGGGAGTCCCAATACCTGACGTATCATCATGGACTGACCAACTATGGAGTCAATAGTCTCAAGTAGTGCTTGGTACCTGATGAAAAAGATATATGGATGCTGGAGTCCAAGTCTTAGGTTGCACTGACATTACATTGCTTTACCAGTTTTTCATCTTTCCACCCATTGGTGGCCACCTGGCATATGATAAGTTTGCAGGAAAATACACTTCAGTTTTGACTTCAGTTGCCTTGATTGCAGTCCAACCTGTAAGGTCCAGTGATGGATCTAGGGGTTGGGAGGTGTGTGTGTGTGTGTGTGTGTTGGGCTAGACTTCCACAAAACTGAGATCTTTAAATACAGTGGTGAGCACAATAACTTCTGGACAGGATAATTGAGGGATATGATCGGAGTATTGCAATCAAAGTGGTTTCCTGAAAAACTTTAGTAAAATACATACTAATGTGAAGGTTGCCTCAAAGAAATTTATAATAAAAAGGGGGAGTACTAGGATGAATCTTCAAATATTTAATTAAGCAGCATAATTAGACTTGTATGTTTGATAAATGTAAATAACATAGTTCATGTCTGTTCATTTAATTCCTTCTTTTTACTTACGCCACTTTGTACATTTCCTGTTGTATTGGAGAAAAAGGAGGGAATGACAAAGAGATGACAGCAGAATTCAATTGCTGAAGGAACTCCTGCTTTTGTTCATCATCTTCATCCATTTCCATTATTGCCTACAGAATTTTTAAAAAAATTTAGTAGTTATTTGTAATCAAAGCTTTTTGCCTGTATAATATTTGCATAAAAACTTGCAAGAACAATTTTTATTTTACAGTTTTCTCATTCTTGATACAAATAATTTTTTGTTTCTCATTATCATAAACGCCTGAATAAAAAATAAAACTGGTCTATCATCAATTTGCACATTTTTAATCCACCAGCAGAGCCAGTGTTCCATTTCAGTGTTCCTACCTCTCGCAAAGTTTCAAGGGAAAGATCCCACTCCACATCATCTCTTTCCTCCTCTGGGAATAAGTTTTTGTAGAGTTCATTTAACTCTGTCACAGTTTCATTGGAGAAATGCATCTGAAATTAAAACAATAAGCAAGAAAATGTTTACAAAACATACAAATAACCAAACTATATCACCCGAGAATAGATGACATAATATGTTATTGAAAATGTTAGCTTATTTTTCTTTCTTTTTGTCTTTGTTAATTTTTCCTTCTGGCATTTGTGTTTGCTTGAGGTGTCATAACAAACAGCAGCAGTTTACAATATTATAACCACACAAACAGCACGGATCACAGCTGCACAATTTTACAAAACAAAAATTTCAAACATGACTGAAACAAAATTTGACATTAGCACAGCTGTTATCATAAATGAAGTAATCTTTGCAAAATTTAAGAAACAAAAATGCTTAACACAAATACAGTGGTTTTTCTTCTGAATGATTAAAATACGCTTCTGTCACGTATATAGTCTGAGATCATACCCCTTGGTTTTTTCTCTCAAAGATGTCTTCTCTGGTTATATAAGCATCTACTGGTGATCTGGCTCTGTCTGGAGTCTGCACCCCTTCTACTACATCATCTACTATCTGACGGATGATCTGCTCTGCTTGTTTGTGAGCTAGTTCTTTCTGTAACATATAAACATAAAATTTTCCATTTTAATTAATTACTATAATTCATAATTTTTCTTTAACAAATAAAGATGTAAAGTCACAGACAATTTCTAAATAGTTCAAAAGATGTCAGTAGTAAATAAAGATGAATGTGCCAAATCATTGTTTTGAAAAAAATTACACGGTACATAATCTACCAGTATACATCAAATCTTTTTTAATTATGCAGGTCAACTACTTTGCTGAAAATGCCGCATTGTCTGAATTAAAAATAGATAACATTTACGCCAATGATCAACTGTACCTCAATCTCACTCCTTTGATGCTTGAACTTGTCTTCTTGAAGTGCGACACCCCTCAATGTGACCACCAGGGAGGCGCCTCCACACACCACAGGTCTGGTTTCAAACTGCCACTGCTCAGTGAAGACACCAGCATTGGGAGATTTGAAGACAAAGGGGAACTTCATGGTGTCTCCAGGCAGAATTACACCTGTAAAGGTTAAAAAGCCACTATAAGTCAAGCAAAACTTTGATAAAATCAAAATAGCAGTATAACATCACTGAGTAAAGACTGCAATAATAAATGCATAAATATCCAACCATTTACAGTAATTACTTCTTTTCAATGGGGGAAATTTGTGAATTTAACAGATACTGTATTTTTTAAGTCATAATTTCTTCAGGACATTCCTACAGAGTGATACCAACAAAATTTAAAAGCAGGCTACTTTATAGTTCTTTTCTATACACTTAAGCACCACAAAGAGAAATATCATTTTTGTGATTATAAAATTATGTATCTGAAAGATAATTTTTGCCCATTGAAAAGATAAAGTCATTATCGTAACATTTAATTTGTTTTATAACGTTAACAAATAAGATGAATGAAACAAATAATATAATGATTATAAATTATATCATTTCTTATGTTTTTGTTTGTTTGTTTGTTTCTTATCATATTAAATTTTAAAAAATGAACTCTTACCACCACTGGTGTTGAAGTAAAATCTCTGAACTCTTGAATTCACAATATCGAATGGGTTGCTTTTTGGCAATTTCTGCAAACAGACATATTTGTAAAGACATTAAATATTTTGTTACACTTATAAAATTAATGGCAGCCATGTGCCTCAGTTTGAGATTCAAATTGATTTCTATAATTGTAAAAAAAAAGAAAGAAAGAAAAACATCTGAAACTAATAAATTAAATATCAAAACTACATTCAGGATCAAATGCTCCAGTTTTGATACAACTGCAGTATCCAGTTAAAACAAGAAACACAAATCTTTTATTTTTTCCCTCTCTTTTTTAATTTGTCCAACATCTCACCTTCCAATCATAATAAATGGAGGTGGTTCCGTTGTTGACAACCTCCAAGAAGGATGTCTTCCTCTGTCCAGAGTAGCCCTCAAAGGTCACCCTGGCCTCAAATGCCTGCTGACCCTGGAAGCTGTAGCTGTCCCCTGTCCACCTGGCTGGCCTGCCAGCAAATAGGATGGATGGACCAAAGATTGGCTCTGGGACAACATCAGGATGGTCCTTCAGTGGGTCACTGTTAAGGCAGAAAACAGATTCATCATTTATCAAAAGACATTATTATTATTATTAAAAGACAGAGAAATTAATGTCAAAAATAAAATGGCATTTTTTTTTTGCAATAAAAGTTCAAACAGTTGAATATGTAATAGTAATCTCATAAAAACAGCTTGAGGCTAGTAAGAAAAAAATTCCTTTTATCAGATTTTTGTGACTCCGACTCGCATGCAATGCAAACTACTGCTTGTAACTGGATCCAATATGGATGACATTCAGTGGTACATCTCAAAACACTTCTAAAATGATGTTAATCTAAAGATAAAATCAATTCCCAAATTGCAACAAGTACTTGAAACAGTGAAATATTAGAAATGCAATCAAATAATAATATTTAACTCCAGACAGCAAAAATCACACTCACAGATTTTCTTGGTCTTCCAAGACTGAATCTTCAAATTCAGACATGGTCCTTGGCTCCTCTCTTTCGTCCTCCTTATCCACAAGCTTTGGGCCTTGCTTGAAACCAGTGATGGCCAGTGATGACATGTCCTACAAAGAAATCAAGAACTGACAACAATGTGCTTCACAAGTTAAAAAAATGAACATCACAACCATGGACATAATAAGATATGATATCATTAAGAAAAATATTTGTATAGAAAGACCCTTGGTTAATATTTTATGACTTATTTCTTAATTTGTAAGGTAACATCTTTGATAAAGTCAAATTAAGTCAATGTCATCACATATAAATTATTTTGCCATATATAATTTTCTCACAATGGCCTATACCAACTTACAGGTTTGTGTGGGTCCAGTTCATCCATGACAGTTTGTAGTTGCTGCTTCCTCTGCTTCAGGAAAGCAGACCTGTCCCAGGGGTAGTGAACTGGGGTGCTGGGCTTACTCCAATACACACCTAGGTAATAGACCGTGGGAAGCACACAATGAGAGTTAATCTAAAAACTTGTCCCAGGGCCCAGGGGTAGTGAACTGGGGTGCTGGGCTTACTCCAATACACACCTTGAAACACACAATGAGAGTTAGACTTTTATATAGCCTGTTTGGAAGAAGTATGATGAAGGAACATTGTTTAAAAAAAAATACACCTTTTTTGTTCATCATTAACACAGATAATTATAATGACAAAACATTTGTGTGCTGACATTGCAGGTAGATATTTGCATTTGGCACTGATTCTTGAAAGGTATGCTGGTATACTTAGAAAAATCTCATCAACATGGTGGTACAAACACATGACATTCATGTACTGCAGGAGGTAGTCAGCAAACTCACACATAGACACAAGTAAAGCCAATTACACATCTTTCAAGAGACATTATCAAACACTCAAATAACAATCATATTAATCAGAAAGGAAATATTCCAATTTCATCTCTTTAGAAATGATTTAATTCTTAAGTATCACTAAAAAGATACAAGGAAAAATCTATAACACCATAATAATTGTACTACTGTATTCTGTACCTTTCTCCTCTTTAATCATGGTTGGTACCCCGACATGTTCAATAGGTGGTGGGTACCCACGCTCTGTTTGGGTCAAAGTCATGCTGGAAAGATTTAAATCAAATGTAACACTTATGTGTTTTTTTTTAATGATTCTTCATGTATCTTTTTATATGTTTAATGTGGACAAGAAAAATAATTGTCCTTTTAATCAAGTAAAAAACTAAATAATATTCTTCTTGTATTCTTATTCTTATTATTATTACTTGTTTGTTTGTTTCTCTATAATACACTTTTCTTAGAGACACAAAGTTTGCCTTTTTGAAATAACTTTTAAATTTTCATCTCAATAAACAACAATCACTGCACTGTGCTTACTGCATTCCTTCCAGGTCATCGCCAATTCTTTCTTGTTGCTTCCAGAATTCACTTCCAACTCGATCTGCATTTGAAAATATAAACTTATTTTAATCACATGACATCATATATGTATCAATAATGCTGAGTATTTATTTTTAAAAGACATGTAGCAAAGAGCCTTTTTATCATGTTTAATAGCCAGCAGCCAATTTAAATTCATTCATGCACAATTTCCCTTTAAAAAAAGTGAAAATCAATGATAAAGCTTCCAGTAAAACATACATGGCTAAGAGATGATATTTTATTGCTACCATCATTTTATCCTGTACCAGGCTGAAACCAGTAAAAAGGTGCAATTACCAACCCCTGACAATCAATTCCCTGAAGTCGTTATCACACTCTGAGAGTTAATGGGTTGCCACTACCAATTATCACTATCATTGCAAAGTGGTTATCATATTACTGATGCAAACTATAAACCTTAGCTGCCACAGTTTGCCCGCAGTATACTGGAGTATAATTGACATACATCACCATGGCCTGTTCTACACAGTGCATACCCCATAGAACACACAAACACTTCACAAATATACTGCAATCAATCTGTGTTGCCTCCATGACATTGTACAATTATGTTTCAGCCCACATTATTTTGAATCAATTGGCAGCAAACACAGTTGCCTCCTAAATTGCTGCTATTACTGTGATTGGAAGCATGACTTATCACACAACTACAGTAAATAACAATAGGGGTAAATGAAGGAAACATGGATCAAACATGTTTTTTTCCCTTTGATTTTTTTTTTTTTTTTTTTGGAAATCACGACAGAATCTGTTGAAGTATAATGTTCCAACAGATTGGTTTTAATATTGTTTTCAAAAATATATTACACTTAAATGTAAGTAAAATAGTTCTATGACAACCCAATCCTAATTTATTCTCATATCTAACACTGGTAATAATTTTTTTTCTGCAGGATAAGATGAAAGAAGAAGTGACTGAACAAGTTAAAAGAAATATTCGGCCATCCTTACATCCTTTTCCATAATCCATGGAGGGTATTGTTCTGTCTATCAGGTAGCGCTCCTCCTGTTTTTTCCTGTAGTTGTCTCCATGGTTCATAAGCAGGGTATCTTCTGATTTTTGAAGAAGTTCTGGAGGAAGAAAATCGGCCAATATGCTGTAAGTACTTATTACAAAGTATATTCTGATCACAAAGTAAGAGTGACAAAATATAAATATAGTAAGTCTATGTAATAATAATTTCAGATTTATTATTTCAATTCAGAAGATTATTTATGGAGCTGATGACATTCCATGATTGCAGATCCATATATAACTGTTACAACCTGTACATCTAAGATCTTCATATGTTTTTAAACATTAACAATTGTTTTAGACTTTCAGCTTACTACTTCTACTAAAACACATAACCCGTTTGATACTAGACCACTAATTCCTATTGCCAGTGATCATTCTTACAAAAATAGAGAGGAAAAATGCCTCCTAAAAACATACTGGATATATAGCCCTGCTGTTTCTTCCTCTCCAGCATCTTTTTCTGCCAGTTCACCAGTGCATTGGTCTCATCCACACTCTGGTACCTGGGGTGAGAGCTGGCTTTCTTCTTCTTCTCATACTTCACAGTAGGTGTGTGGACCTTTAATCTCTCTGGGATCTCAAAGCTCTGAAATAAGAAAAAAAAGAGAGAGAGAGTAAAGGAGATATATTGCTATATTTTGCAGATGGCATATTGATGATATACTAGTACTACATGTAAAAATGTCTCACTACCATTTTATAAAATTACTTTGGTTCAGATGATAAAATGTTCAAATAGGCAACATGTACATCAAGCTAAACAATTCAGATGAAAGTTTAGATAAAATGTCAAGAAAAGATTTTTCTGACAAAAGATAATTTGTTTTTGACAGCATTAGTGTTTAAGAAACACGAAGAGTCTAAGAACTTTCTAAAGTAAAAATTAAATTTTCCTGAAAGTTTCAACAGTTCCCATAAGGTATACCACATTCAATAACATTCACAGAATTACGACCAATAAATCAGTTTTGAAGTGCAGTTTCTAATTTTTGAGTCACTTTAGAAAAGGTGATATAGACACTGCAAATTTCACAAAGATAAGAAATTTAGAGCTGAAAATACACTTATACAGATTGTAATTCTTTCACTAGTTTTGAATAAGGTATATCTTTAGGATAAAGGTAAAGCTGCTGAAATTTCTAAAAAATAAATATTTTGACAATACATTGAATGCATTTATAATTGGGAGCTTCTCGATAATCTGAAGGTTCATTTGAAGGTTCATTGGTCAGAAGGTCCATTAGTCCGAAAAATCGTATGCACTGATGAACTTAACTTTACTGCCGGTACACTCTGGACATTATTTATGCATTAATTTGGACTGTCAAGCCTTTGGACCAATGACCCTTTGGACTATTGCTACAGCCCCTTATAATCAAGTATCCAGCCTTACCACTGACTCTCCCCTCCTCTCTGCCTCTTTCTTGAAGTCTTCTAGTGTCCCAAGAATGCTGTGTGGAATCACATTTCCCATTGCATCAAATCTAGGACCTGTGACACCTACAATGAAAAATGCCCAATTCACAGAAAAGTCATACAAAAAAATTACAAATATTACAAATAAAATGCTATGTAATGATCTTTTTTCTGAAGGTACTATAAAAACATTATAAATCTAGCAGAACAATCATAGATTTATTTAGTATTAAATATGGTCAAATTCAACTCACTGGTGTCAACAGGCTTGATGGGTGCATTTGGTGGAGCAGGTCTGGCCACTGTAACTCTGTAAGAACATAGATGTACGTTATGTTATATTAGGACTAGTGAAAATATGTCTTTTCTTTTTTGTCTTTATTGTTCTTGTTTTGTGATATCACTAAACATCACAGGAAAAGGGCACATCAGTGTTAAATACTACTTATTGATTTGTTATCAAACAACAAAAGTGAGATATGCCAGTGGACAATTGATCAACTTACACTCTCGGTGTTGGTTTATCCAGTTCCGACTGCGGTTTTCTTTTCCTGACCACCACTGGCTGAGTAACAGGAGTCTTCTTAGTCTCTGGGGGGTGTGGCTCTCTCAACTACAGAGATATGTTGTGAGTGATATACCAAATAACAATATTCTATACACACACACACACACACAAGAATAATTTTCTTTTTTACCACAGTGGAATAACTCTTTATATTAAGACACCACTGCACAAAAATGTGCATGAAATGAATTACAAAAGTCTAGGAAGTTAAATACCTGGCTTCAATTATTTTGTAGCCAAAACTGATATGCACCAGGAGGCAGCACCTTACAGTCCCATAGTTTTAAAGCAAACATTCCATTTGAAGGTGATATATATATATATATATATATATATATATATATATATATATATATATATATATATATATAACTAAACAATATGGCTTAAATGTCAACTCTCTGCTGGTGGCCTTAATGGTTTAGTTCATAATCCTCTTAATTAGAATAAGGTGAATTAAGTCACAGTCTCTAACAGTTTAACATTTGCTTTAATTTACAACTTCAAAAAAAAAAAAAAAACAATATCATCATTAAGGAGAATAAATGATCACTGACTTTGAGGAGGTCATCCTCCTTGATAGCCAAACTGAGGACATCGGCACCTGTGATGACATTCTTGGTCTGTGCAGGTCCACTATCCTCAGATGCCTCATCAGGATTGGGTGTCTGACTTTTCTCTGGCGTACCACCATCTTTACGTTTCTTCAATTTGTCTGAAGGGTAAGAAATCAAGAAAAATATTAACAACCAACATATGGTGTGTATCCTAAAAGCATTTCCTATTGTGTGATCAATTAGCCATCCATTTATGCGTAGCAGCCAGGTAAAATAAATTCTGGAGTTTCTTCATGGTATAATTGACATTTGTGTGGTAAATGTTTACCTACAAATAAAATGTCTGCAAAGATTATTTTATCTGCAAATCAAGAAAGTCCACAAACATAAGTGGTACATGTATTTGTTTAGTTTGTTGTTCAAGTGGACACTGGTCATGGTGTCAGTGTAGATGGCATGGTGACCAGGCTTACATATACATATACCAGTAAATCTAGTGCCCTACTTAGCTGACCAAATTATTCCCTAACTGCATGTCACAAAACTTTTCTAACAGCATGCACAAAACTTTTCTAACATGTTCTGTACAGCTGGAAATATTAATGTATCCCTATTGGCATTTAAACCTTATTGTGTTAAATCAAAAGTATAACTGAGGTGAAATTTTGATGTACAAGTTTGTAGTTTCCATAGAAATAATAAACAAAAATTCCAAAAGTCATGACTTTTTTTTGCCCATGACACTAAGGAACAGGTGGTTCTAAATGGGAGAAAATCTAAGTTACTCAGTTAAGTACGCAGTTACTGGTATATTACAACTTCAAATCCATGCATATCCCTGTACTAGCCTGTGGATGTGTGAAACTAAGATATTAAAAAATTTTGTTCAAATCATACACCATCTTATAAGTATATATAGTACTGAAGTACACTGTGCACTAGAAATTATACCCAGTCCACACCAAAAAGATCTAGAATGATTTTCCACTAAAAATACATGGATATACAATGATATATTCTAGGCAAACAGCATACTGGGAGACTTGGATCTTGGCCTTTTAGAAGAATCGGATGCTCCATCTCCTCCCTTCTTGTCTCCAACTGGCATAGTGGCCTTCTTCTTAGTTGTAGACATTGTTGTTACTACACTTTGTTCTTACAAAATGTCTTGTCTGTAGTCCCTTTGGTGGCAGGTTGTTTCAGTTGTAAAATTTCCTCATGAATGTTAAGAACACCAGTAAATTGCTTTTCGGTTTCCAATAACTTTCTAAAAATGATTAACACCTTAGCAACAGATTTGTTGCCATTATGGTCTGTTGTTGTCACAAAGATGTTGATAATATTGCTGTTTCGCTCCCCTCCTTCTTGGTTTCTATCCCCTGGGTTGGTCAATATGAACAAGTCACACACACTGAACCTGTATCCAAGTGGGGGCCTATTCAATAGGCCGAGTCTAACACCATCTGTCTGTAAGGCTAACCATAGGGCAACTCCAGACACCTTTGCCCTTTATTCTTACACAGAACTGTTGTCCTCTACCATTTCTTTTATTTGTGCTTGCTCCAGGTCTGTTTAAAAAAACAGTCTGTTTTTCTTCTCTTACTTGTGCACTTCATCGATTCCCAATGCCCCTGATCCAATTCCATTTGTATGTAAATCAACTGAGCAACAGACCAAAGGAAATAGAAAGAAATAACTCTTTCACTTGCAATTGATACATGACGCTTTGTAGTTGGTCTTTCACCAAACAAAGGCAGCCATGCAATTTTACACAAACTTATAGAGCTATCTTGTTACTTAGTTTAGTTTCTTTCTTTAAGATATTGACATGTGAGGTACTTTTTTAAGCCTGTTACAGTTCAAAAGCATACGGGTAAACAGTTAAGTAACCCATATAAGGAAATTAACCCTAGATACCCAACTGGTGTAAAACAGAAATTCAATAATGCCTGAATAAAAATTATTTACAGACATACCTGAGCAGCAAGAGTTGGCTTAAAGGTAAGTATCATCCATATTCTTTGCCTTGTAAGTAATAACACCCAGCTATGTGTAATTTTCATGATATTTATTTCCTGAGTTTTATATATGGAACTTGGAAGACTTGCCAACCTTTTATGGCTTTAAAATACTAACATTTGTTAAAACTTTTCCCACCAAGATGGCATACAATAACCCAAGTTCTAGGTCTACATGTGCTGCTTTTTGGGAGTTAACAGAGGTTAACACTTGAGGTATTTCATATAAAAAAAGTAAAAAGCATGGCCATGGTTTAAAAGTAAATAAGTTGTTTTTCATAGTGATTAAACAGTAAGTGAGGAATGCAATTTTATGTAAAACTGTTTATATAAGCCTTATTCATACTGTTCAATTTATCTCCATAAGAATTGTTCAAAAATATAACTTCAGATTTTACAAGAACATAAAATAAGACTCAATATTATGGAGACATATCAAAAATAAAATTATGTCTAAACTATAATTTATTGGGCAAACAATGATACCATAAAAGAATCCTCCTTTCAATCAAATGTCATTTATACTTATGCATGCAGTGCCACCTTTAGGCAGATAAAGGAACTAACACTCATGAAAAAAAAATTGCCAAAGTAAAAAAAACTGAGAAAACTGCCAGGCTAATTATGTTAAAATAGCAAGAAAGGGAAACATATGAGAAAATATATATCCTGTAAAATGCCTTTCAGAGGTAATAATTATATGGATAGTATTCATTATTGTCTCAAAGGCAAAGTTGTATTCAAGCATAGTCACAAAAAACTGGTAGTAGGCAAGTGATAGATACTGTTGTTCAAAGAGCAGAAAAAATAGATTCTCAATTTACATAAAAGTATAATGAATTAAGTTACTTTCATTTGAAAAATTCTTAATATCCTTACATAGAAAAGTAACACAGGGGTTCAAAAATTCTTTACAACTTCTCCAATTATAAAGAGCATCATCTCATACACCTTCAATATAAAAAAATAAAACCTAAGTTTTCATACCTGCAGCAAGAATCTTCAACCCTATCTGCCTGGTTACCTTATTCTTTTTCATAGCAGTCAAAAAACTGCCTCCGCCTTTCTGATTGCTAGATTCCATATCATGTCATACAGGGAAAGTAAGTTTAAGAGCTCTTTTCCACATGCACTCTCATTCAGTTGTGCTCAACATTTTATCCCAGCAACAAGGCTATTTGTCCACCCCTGTTAAATATTATACTTCTTCTCCAATTTCTCCTGAATTTCCATACTAAACTTTAATTGGTACCTTTCATTCGGCAGTCTGTGTATGCAAGGAAGCAATTCTGTGTGTAAGCAGTGGGATCAATGTGTCCTCAAATGTCAGTTTTGTTGAAAGTTTGTTATCAAATCAATTCTTGTCACAGCTGAACAATGCCTGTCCAGTTCTATGACATTTAATCCTCTGTAAAACTTAGTTGCTTGGAACCAACATATAATATGGTTACTTAAGAATCTAATAGTCAACATGATGTAAGCCACTGTCCATTAACTAAATAGTTTTGTAAATACTCTGAAGTGCATAACACCTAACTAGGTACATACGTATTGTCTCATTTACTGCTTAGTGTGCTGCTACTGATTTTTGTATTGCAGTGAGATTAAAGAAAAAATGTGGACACTGTCACTGTGACCTTTATCAGCTGAAAATCAATGCTTTCTTGATCCAGTTTTTCCCGAGTCAGTTTCTGCAATCCTACATAAGCCTATTGATATATTAACATGTAGCTGTGACTTTCTAAAAAATTAGAGAAAAATCATTTAGTCATTATCATATTCATTAAGATATCATTTCAACACGGCATCTGGTAACCAATAGCTAATTTGCACACACATTTGTGCTGCAAGCACTTGGGTGGACTTACTCAAGTAATTTATATATAAAATGTTTTACTCTTTTTGGTCAACATCAATTTCTCATCTCTTTTAGTTGTTAATTTAGCATCTGATGACCAGGTCTACCCATTTCAAGTCCTATGATACTGGCAACCTTAAAAAACAGACAAAGCATGATACTATATTTATTCCAATTAATACATACACATTGATTGGTAGCTATTACAAAGTAGCCTTACATGATGTGAATACATGTACCTATATTATTTTTTAACAATAAGATCTGTTTGTGATAAATTTTTTCAGTAGGAAAAAAGTGCTAAGTGTCTTCTACTACCTAGCATGTCAGCATATTAAGCCAAATACATATTTTCAAATTTTGCAAGCTTTTAATAAATATTAATAGATTTTAACTTACGAGAAGAACCTCTTGAACTAGAATGGGTGCTGGGAGATTTCACATGGACATGTAAAATATCGTAGGATGCCGTTGGTGATCGCGCCATTTTAGAAAAGCTGCTTCAGAAGTGATCTCAAAACACAGCAAAAGTCTTGTACCTTATCCTTCAAAATGTCACAATCAAACAGTTTTCTTTGTTATGGGACCATTTATTTCTTATCTTGTGACAGCCTCAGATACGCTAGAAAGCTCTGATAAAGGCTACCTTGGTAACCTGTCTAAACATAATTTAGGAAGTAGCCCTAACTAATTGCTTACGATAACCTTACCATACACATTGTTCCCACAAAAGAGAGACTTGCAAGATAGGAGGAGGGGGAGAGGGAAAAAGAAATGCTGTTTACTTATTTCCAATGACAATATACAAAAATCACCCAAAATGTATTAGCTAGCACACCACTTTGGTTGTTCACTGTGTTGGTACCTTACAACACTGACCACTGGTAGTCCCAAATATCACTGTCAGGTGTGCCTTGCATTATTATTTATTTTATTACTACTACTAATAGGAAAAAAGTGTCCATCTTTCAATGGCATTTAATTACATACCCAAGTATACTATCTCTACATAATAAGATAACAATAGTTCAAAGAAATGTATGAGCTTAACATCTTTTTTTCATTACAACAGCATGTGGTTACTGGAGTGCAACCCTGCCTCCTGCTATTAAAAATACAAGAATGCCATGAAAAATTCACCCTTTACCCCCTTATAAATTACAAACTTAAGCCAGAATCTAGAGTAGAGCTGTGAAACCGAGGGTGTCTCGATAGTCCGAAGGTTCATTGGTCCGCAGGTTCATTGGTCCGAAAAGTGGTAACATTTTCATCGATTTTTTAATCAAGGGTTCGTTGGTCCGAAGGTTCTATAGTGAACATTCGGACCAATGAACCTTTGGACTATTGAACCTTCGGACTATTGCTACGGCCCCGTGAAACCATCTTTTTGGATTGAAGATTAAAAAACATATTACTAGTAAATAAGGTTCAGAGAAAGGAGTCCAGGAAAAAGGTACAGTACATCACACTTCAATAATTAAACCTGCATTTTAAATAATACATGTAGTTATTATACATACATGTATAAATGTATTTCAAAGGCTTATGATAGATCAAATAATTTATTGCTGTTTTATGTGTTTTATGATTGTGAAAGCTGATGGTGATTATTTCATAAAATCAAAAATTCATTCATAATTTTAGATATGTCACTTTATCATTTGCCTAACAGTTCATAATATACGAGTGGCTTAATCACTTAAGGTTGTGGGTATATCATATAAAATTAAAACAAAGTGACTTTAATTTCTAGGTGATACAAATTACTAACTAGTAACAAACGTATGTCCATTCAGTAGAATCCTAATTTTCCTCATGAAGGATTGAGCTTGATAAACGTTAATCCAGCAAATCAAACCTAAAAATCATATCAAAAAATATTTTGCCATTGTATCTAACCAAAATTTGGTACCTTTTTTCCCAGATCCAAGTGCTTTTGCTCTGGTTGCCACATTAAACATGTTTTCTTTAAATGTCCAATGAATTTGTTACCACTGTTTTTTTCCTGCATTTATAAATGAACACGAAAATAAAGAAGCTTGATAAACCTTCCTGTATCAACCAACTGTGACTGATTTTTAGGTTACAGGGTTCAAATGTTTGTACCAACAAAGCTTACAACCACAGCCCTGTTTCTATGCTGGTCATTATTGCCCTAGTGGAATTATTCAACAGCAGGGGCACAAAAATCATTGTCCACTTGAAATTATTCCACTTTAAAATTTCTTCAGATGAAAAAAGAATGAATGTATTGATTGTGTAATATTGGTGGACTGCAACGCCAGTGCTTGATTTTCATAGTGACCAATGGCATCTAAGTCTACAAATGCCATTTCATGATTCACTGCTGCTATAAAGAATTATTTTCTCCTCAAATTAAGGCTTTCAATGGACACCCGTATCCCAAGCATGTCAACAAAGGTAACAAAAGGCTCAAAATAATAAGAAACTGTTGGACAATTGTTAGTTTTCATTGGTGAAAGTGAGCTTGCATACAGCCTGCTCTCTGCTGCCAACACAGACTTGACTGAAAGATGGAAAACATTTCACCAAATTCTGTGTTTTTAAAATCTAGGGAAACATGCAGCTACTTAGTGAATAGATGTATGAAAGAAGCAAGGTGAAACTGAAGAAAAGGAGAGGTAAAAGAAATGTGTAAGTATTGCATAAAGGTAAGAAAGTTACATCAAAGATCCCATTCCCAGAGATTAGATGGATCCAACTTAAAGGCTCCCTGGTGGTTCATGCTAAATAGCTGTCAGCCGAGCAGGCACAAAAGTTAATTACCCCCTTACAGCTTGTAGTAGGCGGGATGGACATTTAAGCCAGATTATCTGACAGTAATCTAGTGAGACTCCCCACGGGGATAGATCGATCTAAAATCTATGGGAATGTGCCCAAAGTGACAAAGTTGTACAAGTGAATCCATGATTGACTTACACATGCAGAAATACCAGTACAGTCAGTATGAACGCGTGCTTAAATCAAAGCCATCATACTTAAAACTAATCCAATGCCTCATGCAATTAAATCAAGCACATCATCAAATCTGTTGTATTGCCAGTGTAGTAAAAAGTGAACCTACTTATTATTGTGACAATGGTCACAGTTTTATGCAGCTGCTTTAATGCTCGTTTGTTGACACCATCCCTGGATTTGGCTGTCTTGGCATGCCGTTTGCGCTTGTGATGCGACACCTCAGACATTTTCTGATAATTTAAATATACATCCTTTCCACCAATATCCCTGAAGCTATCATATCTAGTTCTTTACAAAAAATTTTTTTTTCTATCCCTGTTATTAGCCCTCCATTTTGCAATGTCCTATGTTTAGTAAATAATCCATATCACTTGACATCTAGTCACATGTTACTAAAACATGTATCATCTATTGTCCTCCAAGTGTCCACACATATAATGAAATTGTCATGTTTTATCCTCATCTCATCATAATATGAAATTCTCTAGTTGTCAGAAACAACATGTTCATGTTTTCTGCACTTTCTCCAACTAATACTATATCTTAAGTTTGATAACAGTAAAAGCTGTTCATCCTTAGAGACCTACATTAACAAACAGGCACTTAAGAATCAAAAAGTATACATCGCACTTGAGGATTTGGTTTTCATTTTAGGCCATAAGTTTTTATGTTTTACATATAAGCTGCATGTTTTCACTTACATACTTTGAAACCTAAATAAAATACATTTTAAATATTTATGCCTTAAACTTACCAATTTTCCCTTTATTTCACTTGCTTTAAGTAAAGATGTTTAGTTATTATGATTTAAACAAAAGTATTCATACCATTTGTTAATTGCATTTAGAACAAATCATAATCATGATGATGTACAGTTCAAGTAATGGGGAGTTTTTCATCTTTGTAATTGCATTTTTAATCTTTTTAGGACAAAAAAATCTTTAAATACACACGTAACAACACCTGCAGTCCTCATTTTGCATATGACCATAAATAAATCTAAGAACCATAAAATAATTCTTAAAGTTTTGTGGCCTAAATAATCATGTTGGTAAAAAAAGTCTTCAATTTCATTAACAATTTTGTCATATTCAAGAGGCACCCAAAAAGCAAAGTTATGTCTGTTTGCCAGAGTAAATAGAACTAAAATGGCAGACAATGCTGAGCTGCTCTATTACTTTGTATTTAACCTAACACATGTGACAATGGACAAAACGCAATCTTAGAGGTAAACTATTTGCAAGCACATCTTGCTGAGCTTTGAATTTAATTTCAAAATCAATTCAAGTATTTCTATTGTGAAATAGTATTCAGATAAGCACTCAGGTCAACAAAATGGTAAGTCAAACATTTTAAATCTGAAAAACTTTCTAAATACTGTAGCTTTTAATCACATCAATCTGAAAAAAAAAAACTCTTAGCAAACATTTCATATAATTTCTTATGTATAATTCCTTCAATACCTGTGTACCTAAACCTATTTCATTGAATGTCAAGAATGCAAATGATAAATCAATAATATATATATTTAAAAAAAAAGCCTATAGACGACATAACACTTTTTAGCATGATCCTGATATTCATGGGAAATACTAGAAAAGGAAAAAGGCCAATTATTTATGTCAAAATAAAATTTCTAGTTGAATGCAATGTTTAAAAAATATGTTGAATAATTCTAGGGAAAATCTGGAAATAAGTGTTATAGCATACATTTGTTAATAGCAAAAGATGAAATTTAATCAGCTTACGCTAATCTTTTAATCAATATAGAAAAGATTGTATGAAATTTTGTAATATAGATATCAAGCATCAGTGCTCCTTTAATCTGTTTTAATGGAACACACATATCTTACAGTTTGCTTATCATTAACATTATCTTTAGGATGCATCCTACTCAAAAGCATTTTAGCCAACATACTACACACTTTCTACTATGGTATAAAAAATTCTTAATTTTAAATCAATACAAAACTGGAGACCTACTTAACAAACCAAGCATGCGAACAGAATCTTTTAGTCTTCTGCCCTTTGGTGTCTTCTTGGATGGCATTTTTGTCTCTGACAAAAGCACTGGCGAGCCTTTACTTTCTGGTCCAGTAGACTTTACTGCAGTCTTAAGCAGTGGTATCACATTCTTAAACTTTAGACGTTTTAATGACACCTTCTCATTTTCTTCTGACAATACTGGTGGTTTTGTTTGGTGTAGTGAGTTTTCCTCGACTCTATCCTGTGCAGTGACTTTTTCATTGCTGGCAATTTTCGTAAGTTCTTTTGACCTGGACTTGATCTTTGTGTCACCTGGCAGAGTTTGGATTAACTTATACTGAACTGGTATTTTTAACACACTAGCTTCTGGTAATGCTGAAGCTGACACATTGTCAATGATCTTGTCCACTGCTACAGCCATCTCTAAGGGCTTTCTTGTCTTCAACAGTTACTTGAACCGACTTGAATTACTATCCCTACCACTCCAAGCTTCCTTTGATATATATACCTTCTAAATGTCTCTACTTATGTCAGTTATGCCTTTCAACCATGATTGGTTGACACCTAAATTGCCATATTCATACCATCACAAAAAGGTCCCTCCAGCTCAATTGCTGAACTACATTAAATATTTAAAAAATTGTAATCTTATATGAAAGAGTACTTTCAGGAATGAAGCACATCCTAACCCCTGTCTTTGAGCATTTATGTAAACAAAAAGTGCTCAATTAAGTTATTAGGAGATTTAAAATATATCAAATTACACATAATAATTGAGTGTATTGCATAACACACCTTATAAGTCAATAATGTTTCAATCTCTGTGCACCTCACATTCTTAAGGTTGCAGAATCTAAATACAAGATACTGAAAGCTCATGGCAACTGACCATAATACCCACTGTCATACAGCGGTCAATTGCAAACAAATGCATACCTGTTGACCACTTGCAACAAAGCCACAAAACCATGCTAAACCCTATAATACCTCACACAAGTATTGAGCAGATCCATTTCCAATGACTATTTGTTGTTTCCCTAAAACTTCATAATACTTTCTGTAAATTTCAGTTTACTTCATAGTACCACAAATGCTAAAAGACTGAAACAAATCATTTTGAGCATTTTGAGGTGCACAGGCTTTAAATCTGGAATGAGGTTTAAAACCTGTATCATTCATAAAGCACCATTACTATTTTTATGGATTTATGCATTTAATTTAAATTTTTTATTATAGAATTACATCAAACCGGAGGAGGAGAAGTGGGCATCATAAGTGACATCAAAACAGAAGAACAAAATAACAGTGGGAATAACAAAACAAGGTGAGAATCTTTATAAGACTGCTTGGAGAACATACCATCACACTTCACAAGAGTACATAATGCAAACTTTTAAAAGTAAACTTCAAGTTGGCATAGATGCAGGTTTCCTGCACATGAATAGATTTTTTTTCTATTTAGCTTTGGATAATATCCTACAATATAAAGTTCAGTATAAAAACTCACTTATACTTGAAGCAACAGACGACTTCCTGTTTCTGCTGGCTGTGAATCTGCTATTTGCTCTGACAGCTGTGAGCCTGCTTGCAACTTTTCTATTACTGCCATATCTGCTTGCAGCCAATGAACTCATCTTGTTTTCAAATGTGAGTATTCGCATTCACTATCATCATAATACACAATTTCCAACTGTTATGGAAACACATATTGACTCAACCTGCTTAAATACTGTATCAATTAGAGTGGCTTAGTATTAGTAAAGCTGATTACCAATGGTAATACAATGTACATTCTTGATAATAACCATAACATCGTATTCATCAAACAGAAAATCAATTTCATACCTTTAGTGCATAATGAGAAAATCTACATGTACCTGTATAATTATTAATAGTCAATGTTGATGAACTTTCAAATCAATTGACTTAAAATTGTCAAATCACAACTGCAACATCTATTTATTACCTTTTGCAAATCCCTCATTTAAACCATATATATATATATATATATATATATATATATATATATATATATATATATATATATATATATATATATATATAATAAAATAAATATAAAAAACACAAAATATTTAAATATTAATTTTTATTTGATACATCCATATTGAAATCAAAATATCATAAAAATCATGACATCAATCCAGCAACAAACTAAATGCTATCACAATAGATCATTAATAATTACAAACAAGGGTTTGCATTGTATAAATATTTATACTGTACATCATAACAATATAAGGAGATGGTGTGTGAAATGATAAGCAGCAATTTGGCCCATCTGACCAGCAAAAATAGCAGGTGTCAATAAATAATGAGGAAATGATAGGAAAGTTGGTATTCTGCCAACACTTCAAGGAGCAGTCAACTGCAACTCTTTCATTTATCACAGAAAAAATCATTCGTGCACACACATTAACATGCAGACTTAAGAAATTATAACATTTGAAAGTGTCAAATTACCAGTTTAAAATACCCAATTTCCTCCACTATATAGAGCTCCACTATATAGTGCATAAATTGTGCATCTCGCCATCAGTGACTGAGTGTACCTGTACATGTAGTAATATTTTACAGTGTACACACACACCACACTCGGCAAACACAAATATAATTTTACACAATCCATTGCATTTACTAACATAATCCATTGTTGTAAATCAACTGTTCATGATTTATTTACATGTTCATGGAAATAGTAAGTCTATCACAATTCATATTTGATCTCTTTTTTTTTTATTTAGGTCGCATCACTCTGAAATGTTGGCACCCAACCGAAATGTCAACGAGTTTCCTGTGCAGTCAAGAGGTAATTCCATGCAAACATACGAGAAGTGGTGTTTTATTATTAAAATACTGAAGCTAATGAATAGCAAGGCCTGCACCATGACAAATCAATAAAAAATATATGCTCTAAATCCGATGGCACAGTATCATTGAAAGAGACAGGTGATGACAGTAACCAATGACAATGTGAAACACAATTGGGTGTTGTAAGAAAAATTTACACGAATCAGATTTTTTTCATGATTAATGTTCAGAGCGGATATAATGAGTACAAACCAGATGATCTGGGCCTCTCCTTTCTAGTAGCCTTAACGTTAAGCTTGCTGCTCATTTTGCTTGTAATTAGTCACGCAATCCAACTGTGTTAGCAGGTAAGGCAGATCGCCATATTGTTTCTAGACAACAATGGGTGTATCTATTATTAAGAATTTATTAGCTTACTTTATGTGTACAAATGTCAAAATCAAATATTTTGGTAATGATTGGTGGAATATGAATCACAAAAAACTTGTTTTGTTGCAAAATTATTATTATTTTCTCATTATTTGCGTTTTAGAGAGAATGATATCCCAATAGCGGTCTGATTTGGATTCTCAATTTTCTACTTACAGCAGCAAGTCACGGAGTACGAGAAAGTACGATATATTTTGTTATGGCGGAGGATGTGAAGTAATTTAAGCGACCGTTTGAGAGTACAGGCGATTGTTTCGACCAGGGAATGCTATACGAGAGATTGCAGTGTTGCGACGAGTTGTCCTTGCTGGATCTCAGCAAGGTAATACATTTTGCGTTGTATCAAATGCATTTCCCCACACCAACTCTCAAGATACATTGACACACCCAGGCCAGTCTATCTTCATAATGTAGTGTCTCTGTGTGATGCCTGTTAGGTCTGAAAGCTTTTCTGTATTCGACAGAATGTTAATATTTTCCAAGGTCGCATGTGTTCATGGGTATTCTAAAATGTTCAGGTACCAGTAAGGGGGTCGGTGCGAAGGGTTGCATTTATGTTGTGATGTACCCCCCCCCCCCTTGTACATCCGCTTGACATAGCGTAAATCAATTTTAAGACTGCTGATAAGTAATGAATGTTGTAGAAATTTTGATTTCATTTCACCTTCCTTATATACTTTGGAAAAGTATTAATAATCAGATCTAGAGATTGATTAAGCCAAGGCTAATGAGTAACGGTTTACATGTTACTGCTCTATGGCTGGTAAGCTGCTTTTAGTACTTTAGACTGTTGAATTATAAGCTCCAATGGTCACCATGACAGATTGCAAATTAAAGAGGTACTGGATCTGTGCAAAAAAGTCATCTTAACTTGTATATTCACATACAAGTTGCCTTCCATCTCCTTGTTCTGTGTCCAAACACCCCCAGGACAGCAGGGCTGACGTTACCTTGTAACTAGGTTACTTTATACCAGATCAAGCTATTAAGGTTTATAGGGCAGAATTATATAAGCAAGATGTCAGTGGAAAATTTTTATCATGTTAAGTACTTGCGATTAACTTTCTCCATCCATGGCTTTACCCACTAAGCTTCTGGTCATTACAGCATAACATTATCAGATATACACTTGTGTCCCCATATACTGACATCATTTCCGATAGTTGATAAGAGTGTATGAATGGGAAATTTGGGATATACAAGACCTGTTCCATGATGTATGAAGGATATTCCTTATAATATTCTGTAGGATTGTTTAGTGTTGTGCTGGAAAAGTTGTTTTAATCTTCATGTGGATTAAATTTGATATATAGTCTCAGTATTGACATCCACTGCTGATTTGTCTTTAGGCATTAAAAAGGTTTGTACACTTAGTGACAGTAATCTCAGTTTTGCCTGAAAATGATTCAGACCATTTTTTTTCATTGTGTTCTATCTTCTGTATTGTAGATTAAAAAAATTATTGAATTTTATTTAAATTTTTTTCTAATGTTTGACTTTTTTCAAGATAAAGGGTATCGACAAAATTGTCATTATCATCACCAAGTTTTACTATGTGTGATAAATAATGTGTCAATTCTTGATAACTGGGTTCAATAGGTATGAAGTTCAGTAGGTTTGCATGTTTTAAATTATCACTAAAAAGATTTGTATAAGTGTAGAGCTGGATAACAGATGTTTGCTTTATCACAAAAATGCATCAGTTACAATAACTTTTGAATAAACAAATTAAAAAAAATCCTGTAAATTATGATTATTTATAGGTTCAAATATTGTACAAAAACAACTTTTTATGTATTTTTATTCAAAGAAAAAAGAATATCAGTCTTGTCCATTTTCGTTAGAGTGGTTTTGGTTATGTGGAGAGTAGAGTTAATAGAGTATACCTATGAATTAGATTTCTGGAGATAGCATTCTATATGTACTAATTATTTTCAATTTTATTTTTTAATTGATTATTTATTTATTATTATCATGATTTATTTATTTTGTATCAGATGGAAGTCCCAGGACTGAGGATCAACTTCACAGACCCTAACCTGTGGGTTGCTGCCCTGTGTATTGGATTCAACCCGCTATTTTGGAATGTGGTAAGATATGCTCCTTTGAACATTTTCAAAACCCTGCCAGTAAGCTGGGTGCTCTTCTATTCGACAAAGGTCAAGGAGCGAGTCATTCAGTTAATCTGGTTGCTTTCAGCACCCCGCAGAGTTGGATCAGTCTATGTAGAACAATAGTTTCATTGGGAACGCGCCCTATAGGATCAGTATATAAGGTTTCAAATTCTTTTTTATGTCATATAATTTGAAAAGTAGCCTCAAAACAGAATTTCAGTGTAAAATGAAGCCTTTCATATTTGAAGAAAAATATTTAAGCATACTAGAGATTTAAAACACCCACTGTTAAGCCAGATTGAAAATTACAGAAAAATACTATTATTGTATTCTTTCTTAGTCAAAGTGAACTGAAATTTTTTGGTTGGATCTATGTAATATTTAAATATTGTGATGTGGTTATGTAAATTAATGTATATCCAGTATCTTTCCCATGACCCAGAAAGTGATGGAAATTTGTGTGGTCTAACTGTCACTTACAAGTATGTTGACATAAATACATGTAAATATCCTCCTCAGTTATCAAACTTGAATGATAACGTACAAGAACTTTATTGTTTACTGAGTAATTTACTTTTATCTTTTGGGTTGTAGTTTGGATATATATATATAGTAAAGAGAGAGATTGGAGAACATGGTTATTTGAGACTAACACCCCATTTCCATAGATTAGATCGACCTACTTTAGATCGACCTAACTCCCTGGGGGTTCACGCTAAATACCTGTCAGCCGGGCGGACACGAAAGTTAATTACCCCCTTTACAGCTTGTAGTAGGCGGGACGGACATTTAAGTCAGATTATCTGAAAGTAATCTAGTAAGACTTCCCGTGGAGATAGATCGATCTAAAATCTATGGGAATAGAGCCTAACCTTTCTAGCTGAGCCATAGAAGTTTTCTTCACAGCCCTCTTTTAAACACACAACCTTATATAGGTTTAATCTTAATGCATCAAATATATTGTCATTTGGATAAATTTTTAAAATACAATTTTTTTTGTTTTTTTATGGTTTTATCTCCTTTCAAAGTCCCATAACAGATAACTACTTTCAAAGTTCCATGACTTTTGCATCATTGCTGAGTTTACCTATTCAGCCAATAAAATATGATTCATCAACATTTTAATGTGGATAAGCAGCAAAAAGCAGAAGACTTACTTGACAGCCTTTTAGCACTGGTCTGAAATTTTCTCAGAGGAGTTCTTGTTTGGGGTTTTGGTGTGCCAGAGTCTGCCATGACCAGTTGGCTTAGTGTGATATAGCACTGTACAACCCTGTGAGAAACTGGTTTTTATGCTCTCCAAAACACTGGACAGTGATTCTGAAATGAAAAGTCCAGTAAGATAACTGAAATGATGAATGAAAGACCCTTGGAGTATGTATGCATAAAAATGTTCTCTCTAGAGCTGTACATGACCATGTCCATTATTATGATTCTGTATTATCTAGCTCAATGTTTGAAATACTTCAGCATCATACAAAGTTGTTTTAACTTACTTTTTCCTCTTTGTACAATTAATCAATTAAATCCTGTGAACCACACATTTGGCATGGAACATAAAATGCAGTAAATCTTCTTAATGAGCAGCCAACTTTGAAAAAAAAAAAAGAAAGACGCAACATAATTATGTTCCCATAGCTTCACAGTGTTAATCCTTAGTGTGCTTGTGGTTAACTAACCATGGTATTTTAAATATGAAATTAAGAAACACCTCCCATTGCTAGCCACAAATTAATTGAGGGACCAAAAACTAATAATAAATATGAGAAATTATTTCATATTCATTATTCCCATATAATAAAAATATTTTCTTGATGTATGCCCATTGAGAAAGTGCAGTCAACAGATGAGTTATTATTGAGGACTCTATTACATAGGGGTCTTGGCTTTTGCTATTTTCAATATTAAAATGTTTACTTTGGCCAGGCAGCTGTAGAAATGTGGACTGATATTTTAAAGAGAACATTTGTAACCATAAATCACAACAAAAAGCCATAAAAGAGCTGAAGCAGACAAGCATTAGCAGGACTTGCTTGCTAGACATCTTGTAGTGGAGGTCCTGCTTTAAGTATGTGAAATTATACATTTTTGCACGTTTACAGTTAACAAGATTCTCTGCTATAATCCTTTTATTATAATAAATAAAATTATAAATAAATCCTTTTATTTTGCAGTGCAAGAGATGCATATTTTTGTTTTAGTTCAAACTACCATTCAGTAAATTGTCTCCCACATATAAGCACCATTGACTGCAATGGCATATAATGTAATTGTTTTTATAACAAAAATATCTATCCATATTTGTTTTACATTTCAATAGATGAAGATGTCAGTTGCATATGGTTGCTTATTAATTAATGGGTAATGTTTTATTGAAAATATCTGTAAGGACTAATGAGTTCAGTCCATTGATTCAGTTATGGAATCAATTTAAGTGTGTTTTGAACCGAGCTAATTTTTGACCTGCTGAGGAATTTTTATTGCTTCCCTAGTGTGCATAGTAAAACATAACTTAGGACAGTCTTTGTAATACTGAAGATGAGAGAAACTGATATATATATATTTCTCTTACTTGGGCTCCTCTGGCATATCTTAGCACTGCCTTAAACCACAGCAAATTTAACTTTTCAATCAACAGGACTATTTTTTGTTAATGAAACATGAAAATTTGCATTGTTTGAATGGTTGTCTCTAAAATAAAAAGCCATGCTGCTCACATTTTTGTTTTTAGTAGGTGACATGCCCTCTAGACTGGAATTACACAAATGAATCTTCTATCTTCTTTCTATGCTGCCAGTTCATTACTTTTAAAGTTTTTCATTCTTTTATATATTTTTATGTATATAAAAAGTAATACATTTTTTCACATCTATTTAGTATATAATGGTCTTTTACCAAATGGTATATGTTGGTGAAATAAGTCGTGCGGAAAATTGAAAAGCCCTTACCTTTAAGTAGCCCAGAGGTGTATGAAACAAGTTACCATGACTGCTAGCAAGAACATTCTGTTGGGGCCACTTCAGTTCAGCAAATATTGAACTACCAGTCCCACACCAATTTTATGATATATCCCTGTGCTGTAAAACCATATCCTTGCCTATGTGAAGTACTCTGGAATCTTTTAACTGCTGCTGTGTATTGTTTGTCAAAGGGCTTCCTGCTTCTAAGGTATTTAAATTGTTAAATGGTTGTACTATAGTATGTTCCTTTTCCCATGCCCAAGCCACAGTTTTTGGGATATTGACTTTCCCTAAAAATCAATGTACTTCTAAATACTTAATTGTTGCTATTTGTTTAACTTATTATGCTTCTACTGGACATGACCATTCATATTAACCCGTGCCTAAATTTTCATCAAGCTATGCCACCTTTCTATATGTAGTGGATATTAGATCCATACACAGTGTGTTTATTGCATTAGTAAAATGTTTTCCGAATGGCCCTTGATTATATTTTAAGAGATTATATTGTTATCCCTTTTAGAGGGCATGGGATGTTTGAACTGTGAGATATAATAGTACATTTTAACTTTGAATGTGTTAGCAAATTTTGTTCTCTAAAGTGATTTGTCAAGTACAAATCAGCAACTTAATTTGGATGTAATACACAGTATTTTACAGCATACTAAAGTTAGCTACACTTTTTAAATGAAGTAAAGCCAGTGGAAAAAGCTTCAGTAGTGAACCCTAGATAACAAGTACTAAAGGTGTGGGGATTGAAAAAGATGATTTCAAGTCAAAAAGACCAATTTGACAATTTTGAGTTGGTTTGAAAAGCGAAACTTTGATAAAACATATACTTTTTCATTAATATCATTTGAACCAAAGAAAGAAATATTGGCCTTTGGTGGCTTCTTAATTGTTTATAATTTTGTAACTGTTTATTTATATATCTGTTTATTTTTTATACTTTTGTTAAATTTTATCTTACTATCTTGTACAATACACATATATGTGAATTGTGTTAGTGTACTTATATTCTGTGTTAACAAGCATTTTTTTCGCTTGTCTGTTATTGAACATATACATGCATATGCATTTATTGGAGCATGAATAAAATTGACATTTAAAAAAGGAAAAATATAAAACCTTTAATACTTCTGCAAACATTGTCTTTTTGAAGACACAATCAGAGACTTGAGATTACATCCAGGACATAGACAAAAATCCTTTGCCAATTTGACATGAATATGGCATTTGATAATCCTATTATTTTTTTANTTTTATATTTTCTGATCTTTTATTCTCCAGGTGGCCAGATGGGAATACAGAACCCACAAGCTCAGCAGACTGTTTGGGTCCCCATACATTGGATGTTATGTCCTGGCAGTTATGATATTTTTTCTTGGCATTTACAGGGATGGGAGGTTAGGCTTTAAAATGTATTTTTATCTGTGCACTGATTTTTTTTCCATAATCAAATTTGACATATTGAAGATTATTATTTACTGTGCACCTCTTTATGTTATTATCTCTGATTTACTGGCCATGCATCAACTCATTTACTTAAAGTTATGCATAAATATTTATAGATAAAGAATTTATTTTTTAAGATCGAACTGAAAACATAGAAAATAAACTGTCCCAGAGATGACTTTAATTAACAAACACATGAAAACATTAACAAAACAAATTATCTTGTTTCTAGGTACAGACTAGCTCTTCAAAGTCAGCCCAAGTCCCCTGAGTTATTTAGTAACTGGATTCTCTGGTCAGGATATGTCTCTATACTAGTAGGGAGCATGCTGGTGTTGACTAGCTTCTTCACTTTGGGAGTCACAGGGACATTTTTAGGTTTGTGCAACTTTTTGAAGTTTGTAAAGTCTTCGTGATCCAGCCCTGAGATTGTTTTAGTAAACAAAACTGATGTGACTGAATGAAGTGATTTTTCTTCAGTCAACAGCTTAGTATTGAAGTAGTTTTTACCTCCAGTGTTTCTATGTCTAGCAGAACATCTTCATCAGGGAATGAGGCTAGGTTTTTTTTTTTTTTTTTTTTTTTTTTTTGTGTGTGTGTGTGTGTGTGTGTTGGTCTGGATTAATTGCTCCCTGTAAAGGTTGTATCATAGTAACTTCATATCTTTTTAAATGCACCATTGTCATTGTTTATGCTAATTTGAATATATGTACCTTATGAATGTTCAATATCTCTATTTTTATTTTGTAGGAGATTATTTTGGCATTTTGCTTGATGAAAAAGTGACCAGTTTCCCATTTAACATAATGGACAACCCTATGTATTGGGGATCTACTATGAACTTCTTTGGTGTAGCTCTTATGTAAGTGATTGTTGATGACACACTGGCATGTGTTGGTTTTGTCTTAGTCAAAAGAAGTAATTTTTCAGAATTAAAAATTATTCATTTAAAATATTTAGTTAGTTATTCAGTTATTTTTTAAAGTAAATTACCTTAAGCACTTTGTTAAGTGTGTTACATCCTATCAGGAACCTATGGATGTTACTGGTTTTTGGTGGTTTTTGTGGAAATTATTACATTGCACTAAAATGTCTCTGGTGAAACTAAAAAGTGCAGGCGTGTGTAATCATTGCTGTGTTGTTAAGTGGTGGCGCATTTATTAATGCAAGAACAGAACTGAATAAATTCAGTTTGGAATTTATGGGGGGGGGGGGGGGGGGGGGGGGGTAGGCCAGATCCAAAGTAAGAAAATAAAATCTAAATTTTTGTCTTCCAGACAAGCTAGCCATGCAGGTCTCTTGCTCACTCTTTGGGTTGCTGTGTCTTACAAGATTGTTATCATGTTTGAAGGGTAAGTCTCATTTAAATAAGTCAAAAAATGCTGCAAAAACTTGAGCATTTTTTTAGTAACAAAATGGATATAAAAATCTTTTAGGTATTTGCTCATACCCAAGGTTTTTCTACTTCCGTATATTTCTTATAACAAATGTGGTATGGAACTTATTGACGCATTATTAAATGAAAAAATGTAAACCTATTTGTGTAAGAACTAAATTATAAATGTCAGTAAGAAAAGTTAAATTTTCTTATTAAATGACTTAAGTTTCTCCTTTTTTTCCAGGCCATTTACTGAAGCTATTTACAGTAAAAAGACAAAACTAAAAAGTAACAATCACGCAGATTAGATGCTTCCTGAGCCATGAACATGGAATAATGTGCCAAGTTCAAGGGGATATGACACAGTTTTCTAAGACCTTCCAACATTATCTCTGCAGATGGTCCCCATTCTCTGGGAGATCAGGAGTTCACCACTAGGAATAAGACGTGGTGTTTTTCTTATTTATACATTGTCTTCCATGACTCTTGAAAAACTCTTGATATTAAACTATACATCAAATCATCATTTGATGGAAAACTTAAGAATTTCTTTGTAATGGTCTTGTATATTTCATGCACTGATCCATTACTATTACACAATTGATTTCAAGAAAAATGCCATAGATATTTAAAGTTAATATTTATAAAACTTGCAACAAAAATTACATTACTGTAGCATTTGCGTAGAAATACTATGATTTGGAGTATAATTGTAGTATTTATACTTGAGAAATGGTGAAGAGGATTCTCCTGCAGTTTAAAACTATTTCAATAGTCAAATTGGCCAAAAGCAGTCAGTAAGATGCTTGTCAGCTAAGTTTAGACTATACAATTTATCCTTTAAAAGGATATTAAATGAACAATGCAAAGTATGTTAGTATTAGTCATAGTAAATGTCTATTTTAGTTTATCAGTGTTGTCTTGGCTCATGATATCTTTGTTCTGTTAAGGTATTCTTCTTACCTCCATGTTCTTAGTCTATGTTCCTAGAGTTATTAATTTAAATAGGTATTTTACAGTTCATTTAATTATCTGGTTTTATTTTACCGACACAACAGCTCTAGGACCTGCAGCACAAGTGGTGTTAAGTGCTGATTAGCTTCACAATGTTTTTTAACCCCGAAAGCATTATCTGGCTATCTTTCTTCTTACATCTTCTACCTACTATCTACCTACAGTTTCTCAACTGAAGGTTCAGTAATGTTGACTACTGTAAAAGCACAGATATGATGTATCAGAATCAACAAAGGTTATTTATAGACTATTTACTGGCCATGTCTGTAAGTTGACCAAAAGCTGACCAAAAAGCTCAAAGTAAATGTTTTAAAAACTGACCAAAAAGCTCAAAGTAAATATTTAAAGAAGTTTTTGTGTATCAAAACTTTTTTGTGGAAATAAAACTTTTAATGAATAAAACTTTTTTCTAATAGACCTAGCAGTGTAAGATACAAGTATTTATTAAACCAAAACGCACGTGTATTTGTATGGCAGCATAACTTATTGTTTTCTTACATATGTGACATCCTAACATTCAGATCAGTGTGTACATAGATCGGCCCACACAATTTCTTTGCCTCCACTGTGTTAGTTGTGCGTTCTCCACTCGTGGAGACTGGAATCCTCTTCTGTTTACCATCTCTAAGCGACCAAATAGCCAACCTTCAATCTATTGCGTCCAATCCCGATAACATCTAGACTTCATTATTGACGTGTCATTTGGTTTGAAAGGGGAAATGCAAACACCCAAGGGACCTTTGTATATCAAAATCAAAGTAGCACCTTGCGTGGTTTTTGTGCCTGTATTGAATATTTAATTAGAATCGACCCAAGTGTAAAAGTAGCCCAGTATTCACTGTATTGGCAGTAACCTACTGAAGTAAACAGAATAGAGCGGTCTCTGAGGTTTAGGCCAACAGTCGCTGTTACTTTCCTACCACGGGATGGTATAAGGATACGTGGAATAGGTAGAGTATNCAATTTCGTTGCCTCCACTGTGTTAGTTGTGCGTTCTCCACTCGTGGAGACTGGAATCCTCTTCTGTTTACCATCTCTAAGCGACCAAATAGCCAACCTTCAATCTATTGCGTCCAATCCCGATAACATCTAGACTTCATTATTGACGTGTCATTTGGTTTGAAAGGGGAAATGCAAACACCCAAGGGACCTTTGTATATCAAAATCAAAGTAGCACCTTGCGTGGTTTTTGTGCCTGTATTGAATATTTAATTAGAATCGACCCAAGTGTAAAAGTAGCCCAGTATTCACTGTATTGGCAGTAACCTACTGAAGTAAACAGAATAGAGCGGTCTCTGAGGTTTAGGCCAACAGTCGCTGTTACTTTCCTACCACGGGATGGTATAAGGATACGTGGAATAGGTAGAGTATGTGTGTTTTACCACGTTTTCGATTATGATATCCCGTTTTTTCTGTACAATTTATCGAGATAGGTCTGAAAAACATAAATGCTGTTAGGATATGTTGAAATTGTGCATTAATGAATATAGGGGGGGTGTCTGTGACACCTTGAGCGAATCAGCTGACACCTTAGATATTTTAATATAAAATAACTTAAAAGTACTCTGGTCCAAAAAGTGTGTCTAGTTGGCCTATGTAGCCTACATGTCTTAAAAGAGAATGAAGTATTGTAGGCCTATATCTAGAAAGAAGAGATGAAAAAAATGAAGTGGCTATTAGAGAACGTGTATAAATTAATTTCAAATATTTGGCACACGATCAAAAGCAATTTGGAATATAATACAATTTGATATTTAGCTCCATGATTTCCTAAACTAAACTAGTGTTTCACATTCTACGGTATCTCTTGTGCAACAGCAGTTTTGCATATATATGAGAGTTGAATATCAAGGTGTTTCGTATATTTCCTGAGAGTTGTGTCTTGATATTTACACCAGACCACAACCCTAGTTCTAATGATTGTAGCTTAAAATTTGTTCCCTATCTGGATTGTGTCCTTTTTCACTGGCAATACAAGTGCATGTTATATTCCCTCTAATTACAACAGCTTAAGTGAATAACAAGATCAGATTTGATCAACTGAAGCAACTCAGTTTTATAAAAGTCTGGCATATAGGGGAGGCTAAGATTTATTGGTCTGGACCCGTTTTTGCTGGTTCTTTTCTCTTAGTTTGTATGAATCACGCCATCTGAATCAAACGGCACTACTGTTTCCACACACTTTGTGTAATGCAGGAAATGTAAACTGTCACTCTACACCCAGCCAGTGATGGATTCAAGCTGTGTTCGTGATGACGACATTATTCAATGTGTCACAAAACAATGCTAATACACGTGAACTTTGGTGACATTGAATGTGTCTTTATCATTTGGTTTCTGAGTTTTTAAAGAGAAAAAATAAACCAGTGGAATTGACGCTTTGGACTTTTCTCTCTTCTCTTATTCTAAAAACGGGTCCAAACAAAACCGAATTACTCGCCAAGGGTACATCGGCTCTTCCATTCTTCGGCCGCCACAGAAACTGTTTACCTTCCCATCACACTAATCGTTTGTTAAAATTAATTGAGTTTTTGCGTTGCACCTGTGTTTTAAGGCAACCTGTGTTTTCTTTATTATTCTCTTTGGTAATTGCAGCATCCGGCTGTTCATCTTAGTGCCATGTACACCAAAATTAAAGTGATAACGAAGTTGTCAGTTGCCAACGATGTGGTGAGAAGAATATTGATGTTGGATCCTCCTATCATTGGGGTGAGCGGCAAAGGAGTCCCATTCAATAACTTAGGTAAGCGTTTGGGAGTTTAAAACAAATGATCTCAATTATTCTTACAATGTGGAACTGGAAGGAAATCCATGCACAAATAATGGCTTTCAAAATACATTTTCACATGTATTATCATTTGGTTTCTGAGTATTATTCTTTCAATTATTCTTACAATGTGGAATTGGAAGGAAATCCATGTACAAATAGTGCTTTCAAAATACATTTTCACATGTAGTAAGTAAAGACATTCTGTTAAAATAATGGATGTCTTTTATAGAATAAATAAATTCGTATCAACGGTGGATTTAAGATGTCATGAGGAGAGGACTTAAAAATTAATCCTCCACTTTTCTCCAAGAGATGAAGTAGCTTACAACTTTCGGTAAGTGGGGAGTTTTTTTTTTAAATGGTGCAATTTAGGGAAGATTTAGGTGGACCACAGAGTGTATCTTTTCTCACCTGTGCAGATAGCCCCCCCCCCCCTTTTCACGTTGGGTGTAATACAAAGTTCATACATGTATTAACAAATTGATACGGAATGCACATTAATTTTTATAGACGCATTTAAAAAAACTTATACTCCAATTCCAGAGACAATTACTTTGGTGACAGTCGTCACATTGCATGGAGAAGTTTTCATCTTTGACATCAGAAAGAACAGAGATTTGATGATCAGCGGAGGAGTGGGTCGTGTGCTACAGTCAAAGGAATTAAAAAAGGTACTGTCTCGACTTTATCTTGTGATGATGGGGTTGCATTGGTTGGTTTATTTTGTATCATGTGGTGACGTCTGTTATGGCTCTATTCAGTAAATGAAATAAGATCAAACAACAAATATGCCAACGTCAAGTCTGAATCAAAGTTTGGAAATCGTAGATATATTTCCAATCAGAGTAAACAACGTTTTTTATTAAGTCACTGAGATAGAAAGAAAGTTATAGTGGTATCCTTTTTGAGGATACAAAAACTCTCCACATTTATGTCAGAAAAAAAATTGTGTGTATTGAATAAAATTATATCAGTGATTTCAATTTAATTGTATTTTAAGAATCTTCCTCCTGATTTTAGGTACTCCACGACGGCAACGAGTTTAACCTCGCTCTTCGAAGGCAGTTTGGGGTGCGGATACAAAACGTATTTGACACACAGGTAAACCGTTTTTCGTGACTTTAAGTAGTTTTAAGTGTGTGCCGTGTTTTGTTGACTTTAAAGGAACTATATAAGTGCGCGTGAACAGTTTTTCAGCAATTTCATTAAATTCCTATGTACTCAATGGAGTTTTTACGTGGAGCGCATGAAAGGAATAATAGATAGATAGTTTTCTGGTCTGGCTTTTTTGCTAAGCAGTACTCATCAAGGCCATTAAATAAACAACTTAAATGAGACAAATTGTTGACAAGGGTTCCTCGGCTTGTTTAGCTATTCTTTTTTAAGCAAAATTAAAGTACATCTAACTTGTCACCTGCGGATCCAATGCAAAAATGTAACCGGCCCTTTTCAATTAAAAAGACAATGGGAGACATCCTAGAAGCTGAAAAGAAAGAATTAAATGTTTCTCCGATGCTGCCAAGTGCGAGCTAGGATCCAATACATTTTCAATATTTTCATTTTTACTTACTCATTTATTGATTCATTTATGTATTTTTAAAATGATGAGGTTGTTCATAAAACGTACATACAATATCAGTGTTGGGTGAAGTGATGATTTAATAAAACTGTTTCAAGACGACGTTCGTTCATAACTTGGATTGAAGTTAGATCCACCTCACTGTATTCAGTATCGAAAACTGATTTGACGTCTTATTTCACAGGTGGCGTACTCCCTTATTATGCAAACGCAAGGACTCCCGCCACGTTTTATTCACGTGCGTGACGCTTACGTTAAGTACGGCGGCGTTAAGGAGGACATCGACCCGGCAACTAGGGTAAGAGCACGGTGATTTTAAGTAAAAGTCCCTTATGCACGGTCTTTGGCGTATACGCATTGTCAGGATGGGGATTTTGGTTGGGCAAGGATAAAATTTTAGATAATACCCAGTAGAAGACGGAGACAAAATTAATAAGTTACTGGTCTCTTCTTCCCCCTCGGCCTCCCCCTCCCCCCTCTGTCCCCACCCCCACCCCCAGCATAGAAGATGGAGCACAGGGGTGGATTTAGGCCGTCTTCTGGGTCTTCTGGAAGACGGTCAGATTTTCAAGTTTACATTGTCGGGCATCTAATATTTTCTGTCGGAAGACGGTCAAAAATGGAGGATGGATCAACAAAGATAATTTGGAAGACTGTCAGAAAATATCTCTCGATCCGCCCCTGGAGCAGGGATTAGTGCTGGCAATTGAGGATAAAACGCAGATACAAGTATTAAATGAATTCACTTGCCATAGCCTGTGCATTGTGTTAAAAGAACATGTCATAATATCATGAATATGATCAACAGACTACACAGATGAATTTTCATCAGATGCAGTTGCAGTTTTTGCTGCTGTAAGAGTAACAAGGAGTATACATGTAGGACTATGTATGCTTTCGTTTAATTGACTTTCATTTTTAATGGTTCATGATCTTTTTTTATCTTTCACAGCAACTGATGTCCGAAGATCCAAACTTTTGGTCCCGCAGACCTCTTAGTAAGGTTGCACAGCGGGTTGCAGCCATGGACACCATTCCTCTCTTACCAACATTGTACGACGCCCTTAACCGGTAAGGAAAGTTAATGTAGTCATTACAATATCTCTTTGTCATAATTTTGCTATGAGGTCATGTGTACTACATCAACAAAAAGAATGAAAGTTTTATTAAAGTTTGGCAAGTACCATTATTTTATTTGTGTGGATACTCTGGAAGACAGCTAAGCGAAGTGTTTTGTTGCATTCCACGAACCAAAGTACACAGCTTTCTTCTCCTTTCAGGGAAATAACCGCCGATATACGAGCACTTTTTGAGCACATGAGTGAAGATAACGTGCGCCCTCTATCTATGAGGAGACAGAGAACACGGACCGCCGAGAAAGCCGAAGCAGACGAGATGCGACGATTGCGAACCGACACAAAAAGTCCCATTCTGAAACTAAATAAATCTCAAGAAAAAATGTTACAGTATACAGTGCCCTATTGCGAAAGATGAGACTTATCATGAACTATTGCAAGAATAACATGACATTCACTATAAAACCTCATATTTGCTCAATTTTTATCGGTTTGGATGTAATGATCTAATAATTTTGTTGTGCTAAGAATTTTAACCAGCAAATATTTATTGACCAGATACATTGTGGTCAGTTTAAGACAGGACTGAAGTTTTTGTTCTAATGCTTTTATCTATGTTTAAAAGCGTGGGCAAGAAGAGAGCCCAGCATATGCCCATTTTATTTTTTCAAGTTGTGGGGGCGGAAAATTGTGAATATAGACAGGTAAATCCTGTAGGCAAAGAAAGCAAGACGTTGCGTAATTTGAAAAATGAGAGGTGTTTTCTTCTATGTCCCTGACCAAAGTCACTAAAGCGGTTCTATATTTTGGATAATAAACGTTTTCATGACATCTATAATGGGCGATGTGACAGCTGGGGTAATTTATAAAATCGTTCGAGTAAGACAGCTTGCACGCTTTGACCTATAGATCAGAGAATTGGTCTGGCTATTTCCATGCAGCTGCTGGCAAAGGCCCTTTAATTGTTAGCAGAATTAATTCTTTTCATTTTGATCATTTATTTTAAAGAAGTTTACGTTCTTGGTGCTGTGGTGATTAAATAATACCAGTTTAAGAATAAAATTAGGCATTTGATCTTGGCGTTTGCTTTTTAACGACAATCGAAAAATGGTAAAAAGTGCTTTGTGATAAAGACGCTTGATGAATGCAAACGCACGTGCAGCATTAGCTTACCTGCGATACTGAGTAAATGAGATTGTGGACTCTTAGAGCCCATTTCCAGAGATTAGATCGATCTACTTTAGATCGACCTAACTCCCTGGGGGTTCACGCTAAATAGCTGTCAGCCGGGCGGACACGAAAGTTAATTACCCCCTTACAGCTTGTAGTAGGCGGGACGGACATTTAAGCCGGATTATCTGACAGTTATCTAGTGAGACTCCCCGCGGGGATAGATCGATCTAAAAGCTCTGGGAATACAGCCTTAATGACATACTTGTAGCACATGTATTCTGTGCCTTAGTTCATTTAAAAGACCTTAGTGTGCAATAAGCTAGGATCTTGAAAAAGATGAGTTTAAGAAAAGCAGAAAAGAATGAATCTTTCGATATTAAACATACAGTATAGGTTGATTCCTTCTGGGGCTATCTGCACAGCACCAATAAGTGTAAAACTGACGCTTTTTTTGTACAAATGATTTCCTAATCTACACTTTTTTTAGCAAAATACATTGGGTACCAGTCAAATAGAATAACGAGTATGCGGTTCCCAGCTAATGTCAGTACAAGTCAAATATGAAAAGAAAATGCATTTTTCCACATCTTATTGGCACAACTAATGCATCGCCCCTTCCCTATCCATTTATGCACACCCACGTGTAGGCCTCTATGCGGGTTCTCATATATAAATGGCATTGTATGAAAATAATCACAGCTTGATATATCCGTATTTAGTACAAGAAAGCTATGTATCTGCCCTAGACCGCAGTTTTATTGTGCGTGTCCCTCACCACAAAACAAAGGCCAAGTCTCTTCTCACTGACCTGAGACATCTTTATCACCGGCGGTTACCACGGAGCGCTTGTTTGGTGTCATAATGAGACGCTAGACCACAACGTTTTGTGTGACATAAATCAAGAAAATCACTCCAACTACAAGGTACACCAGTGTTTAACAGCCTTCCATTTGTGCAGTTTTGCCTACTGTTCCCAGTTTCTGAAATGCGGGCATAATACACTTGGAATAACAAGCTGACGCCAGGAAACCATTGCTGAGGGCTATTACGTATTTTGCCAGGTGCGTAAGCCATACGTACGGAGCAGTGTAAATGGGTGGTTTTAGTCAGTAATTGGTTATAGATTTAAAGAGATATACGTCAACATATCTTAGGGAAGAGAATACTAATGAGAAAATGGTACGAAGTCGGGTCATATGCATGCTAGAATGATTCCATAATTATACGGAGCGTGTGTGTCGGGAGCACATAGGATTTAGGAGCTGAAGTGTTTGCTTGTGTTATATTTTAAACAGCTAGAGAACCGCGATAAGCTGGTATTGAAATTGTGCCTGTTTTGTGTAAATATTTGACGAAGTTGTGACTCGGTGATATAGATTTTTCTGTCATCAACGAGATGTGAAAAGTATTGTGGTGTCATCTAGACCGAGAATTTCTATAGGTGCTGACTTTCGCAATAACACTAAAGAGTTGAATGGTACGCTCATTCTCTTTGAAAAAGGACACATCAGCGAAGATATATATTTCGTTCTACCGAAAAGAAGGCGTGACGGTAAGATCCATGTGATTTATTAAACAGCTGTTTTGGTGCTATATTTTGTCAGAGATATACCAATAATTGAAATTCTCTATCTACGGGTTATCAGTTCAAGCTCCTAAGTATATCTATATGTAACACACAGAGAATGCAGGCGTGAGGATGACAGGTAGTATTTATACTGTCTGTAGGTCAGATTGTATTTTGGTGAAGATACTTCAGGCGATGCTAAAAAAACAAAGTTTTGTGATGAGCATCGATTTTTCTCAAATTCATTTTTCCAGGCAACCACATTCAGTAATTTGATATTAGACGAATCTAATTTTGGACGGAAGCCATTAGATAAATAAATGTGTGCACTGTTAAAAGCGCATGCCTATTTAGCCAACGTCTGATGTATTACAAGAGAACGCTCAGAGCATTGTTTATCATCAGATCATTAATAGGAGACCGGGTAGATGAATGTAGAAGTACAGGGTTCTGCAGCCATTTATTCAGACAGATCTGCATATTTAGTATATTACAACATATTTAACAGAGTTGGTGTCAGTTTGACAATAGCGGCTAGCTGATAAGTGTGCTCCACACAGGATTTCCTCGTTCAGTAGCCACGTGAAATCGGGTCAAGTGCCGATACTGTATCAAATTAAGTGTCACTTCACATTTCAGTTTGTGCCCAGAACTTCTTCGATGTCACACAGCGAGCTGGTCAACCAAGGTTCTCAAGGTACTACACCCTTCCTCAATGAAATTAGAACCATGAACCAGGAATTTCAGGATTTCGGGTCAAAACTGGACAATGTTCTGAAGGATGCCGGTGAGCTGCAGTTTGAGCTGGAGGAACTACTACAACTGTTCAGTGACAATAACAATACCAAAAGTTTGAACGATTGGAAAACAGAGTTAGGGTCAAAGCTTAAGGCAATCGAGAGTAAAATCGATGAACTTCAACTTCAAGAAAATGCCACGCAAAGATGAGACTTCATTGATCTGTTACGTCGTGATGTTTTCATACCAAATATTGTCAGAGACAATGATGAGAATGTGCATACAGTTTTCATAGTTTTCTGCAAGTAAGGACCAGCTGTAAAGAACAATGCAGTCTGCATCAAGTAAATTCGGACAGTTAAGAGACTACGAAAGGCAGTGGGAAGAAACTGGGGGTTGAAATTGTGAATATATTTATAAGCCCCTTAGTTCACTGACCAGACGGTGTTTGAAATTATGTCAACATTTCTTTACCATTTTTATCAGATTAAGTGTGGATCATATCACAATAGCCAAATATTGGTACTTTATGTCAACGCCAGTTAACCCTTAAAGCTAAATGCACCTGCAACTTGGGCCTATACACTGAATACTGTAGGTGCTGGACGCTGTATTTCACAGGAGCAGTACGTTATCTCACTGAGCCCTGATAACCCTCCATACTTTATCCGACCACCATACAAACAAGTGGTATGGTAGCAGTTCTAACTATTAAAAGGACAGGGTTATGTTACTTGGGTTAAAACGACGACCCTAAGAACAACTGTTAATGTAAATTTACGGCTGCGTCTTTATATAGAGGGTCAACACATCGTGCAGGTGGGGAGTGACTTTTGAGGACCCCGTCACCATGGTTTCCACTTTCACAAAGCTGCTACCCCCCAGGGTATCACGCAGCCCTCATTATTGTTTCCTTTTTTATTTTTGACTTCAGGAATGTGCCAGTTTTTGTTTGTGTATTTCTCGCTGGCGGTAAGACGTGAACTGAAGGTGCTACGTGTTCTTATGTGACAAAATACAAATCAAAGAAACAAAGTAATCACTCTTTAAAAGTTTTATTCGTTTAACTGATTTAACTCTCTCTCTCTCTCTCTCTCTCTCTCTCTCTCTCTCTCTCTCTCTCTCGTGTACATTCACTATATGAGTTTAATGACGGCATCTACCGTTGGGGAGAATAGATTCCTAGCTTACTGTTCAGGACTGCAGGCCAAATTTCCCAAAGACAAAAAGATTTAGTTTTCTGTTACATGAGATAAATCTTCGTGATTACCTGCAGTTTCGTTATCATGCCTATAGTAACTTAATGTAAAATTGCATGATACTGAAACCTACGACATCTTTATACTATGCTATAACGAACGTTTCATGATACACAGGTATTAAAATAACTCTGAAATTGATTTTTTTATCTTGTGGTCCCATCTTGCCCTTCGCATTATCTCAATGCTCCTGGCAAACTACACACGCGTTCCCTCAATGCAACAGTTCTTAGGATTCAGAACAAAACGATCAGAACGAATTTCCCTGAGGTTTTCAATTATTTTCCACGCGGAGCTTTTTGCAAATCATCAAGCCCCCCTCACCAATTGGCTTATACACAAAACATTTGTTGGAAGTTTGCTTTAGATTTTTATAATTCCCATGCACTTTGTATAAATGAAGTTTTGTTTTAGGGTACATGTAGAATTTTTAGGCGTTTAATAGGTTTAACGTTATTAAACTCCTTTGTTTCCAAAAGTGAGATAGCAAGACATTAAAAGAAGAATAAAAGTCCAACTGACGATCTCTTCAATAATTGACTTTAGATGAATGCCAGTAGGAACTGACTATATCATTTTATATTACCTCCATCCCAGTAATTTAACCAACAATTGAAGAGATAAGTAACAAATACAATATATAAGTCGATTGATGCTTGGTCAATTAAGACAGCTTTTATGTTAATCTCAAATGATTTTCCTAATGTAGTTAAATTAATTGACGGTAAAATCAAAATAATAACCCAAATAATTGAGAACAGTACTATAAACTATGCCGTGACCAAGACTTGGTGATAATCGGTTACAATATATTGCTTATAATCAGTTAGATATAACCTAATTGATGTGGTTGCTATGA